CCTTCCAATTCCTAGTCCCACATTCTACTTTCCAACCTTCCTTCTTGCATGCTATATAAACCTTGCTTGTATTCCCTCATATCAACCAATTCTCATTCAACTCTTCTTCAATTACTCAGTTACTTCTTCGCCTATTTCGCCAACACTCTCTTTCGCCAAAGTCTTCCGCCGCGTTTATCCTCGACTTAGTCAACCCTGCTAATTCCTTAGCGGACTTAGGCCAACTGGCCTAACACTTGGTATCAGAGCCTTCGCGGGGAGCGACTTCCAACGAGCGACCGTCGACGACGAGACTACGCCGTCATCGTCCCGCGGTGCCAACTTTCGAGCGATGTGGAGGAAGTCAAGCAGCCGACACGGCACTCCACCCGCTCCAAAGGATTTGGGCCTTTGGTGTGCCTCCAAAGAAATGGGCCGATGTGTGCCCAGTATTCACTAACACGCTTCTCGATGACGAAAATGCGGATACCATGCTGCCAGAACTGGATCCCGACATGCACGCTGACCCTGAACGACGGTGGAATATCTCCACGATGACCGTCAAGGAAGCGCTAGCGAGCTGGAAGGGGAAGGCGGTGAAGGCAGCAATGGAGGAAGATATGCGCAGCCTTCTCGCCAACGGAACATGGGAGCTGGTGCCACGACCGTGCGGCGCCAATGTCATGAAGAACCGATGGGTTCTTACGACAAAGTACAACGCCGACGACACGGTCGCCCGCGAAAAGGCACGTCTCGTCGCGAAGGGATTTACGCAGATCTATAGTGCGGATTATGATGAGACGTATTCACCGGTCGGCAACTACTTTACGATACGCATTGTCCTCTCCATCGTCGCGGTACTCGATCTGCACGTCATGCAGCTGGACATGAAAAACGCATACCTGCAGAGCAAGTTGGACCGAACTGTGTACCTGGAGCATCCGGAGTACTTCAACGACGGTTCATCTTGCGTTTGCAAGCTTCTGAAAAGCTTGTACGTACTCAAACAGAGTCCACTGCTGTGGTATTCGACGCTCGACAGCGTACTCATTGGCGGCGGGTGGAGCAAGAGTCAGGTTGACGAAGCGCTCTACTTCAAGTTCGGTGCTGATGGAGTCGGTTGCTGGCTGCTGGTGTACGTTGATGACTTGCTAGCCGCGAGTAGCAGCCTCGAGATGCTGAAGGACCTTCGTGAGCTTCTGCAAAACGCATTCGAGCTGCGGGAAATCATTCCCGTGCAGAAGTATTTGGGGCTGGAGATAGTGCGGAACAGGTCAGCGCGAAAGCTGTGGCTGCACCAAAGCGCATACGTGGAGAAGCTGCGTCGCCGCTTTGTGGACGAAGAGCAGACAGGTCGTCGCCCAAAAACGCCCACCTCGGTTGATGCGTACACCGAGTTGACGTTTGAGGATGAAGAATACCAAGCGCGTGAAGAGGAGGAGTACCGCCAGAAAGTGGGCTCACTCCAGTTTGCCGCAACCACAACCCGTTCTGACATTGCATATGCATGCAGCAAGGTGGGCTCCGGGTTTACGATTCGTAGTGACCAGCACTGGAGGGAGCTGGATCGTTGCATTGACTACGTGGTGAACACCCTCAATTTCCTGCGCCTGGTGGGGTATGCAGATTCCGATGACGCGGGTGACAGGCAGACTCGCAGCAGTACCAGCGGATACATTTTCGTACTGGGCGGAGCTGCGGTTTTGTGGGCAAGTCAGTGGATAAAGTGCATGACGCTGTCCTCAACGGAATCAGAATACATTGCTGCAACGGAGGTCGGAAAGGAGGCGCGCCGTTTGCGCTTTCTTCTCGCTGGATTTCGGATTCTCGATGCTGGGGTGCCAACCGTCATCCACGTGGACAACTCATGTGCGATTGCGGTTGCAGAAGGGTTAGGGCTCAAGGGAAGTCTCAAGCACATGGAGCGGCGTTACATCTGGCTGCAGCAGATGGTGAAGCGCAAGAAGTTCGCACTTACGTACATTCCGTCGAGCGAGCAACCCGCGGATTATCTCACGAAGGCGCTGCATTCCCCGGCATTCAAGCACTGCCCTGTCACCGTTGGGCAAGTTGATCTTGCAGGGGATGAGCGCGATAATGCGCAAGAATAGGTGCCATGTCCTTCAACATGGCTGGTGCGGTGAGTATGCGTGTGCGAAAAACACGCGGAGGAGTTTCATAATCGTTACCCTGTTTTACTCTATTATTTCCTTTCGCTTTGTGTGGTGTGCTAACTCCTCAGTTGCCCAGGCACGAGCAGGGCAGGGGAGTGTTAAGGCGAAGCCCTGCACGCGCCTGGTTTCGCGTGTAGCAGCCCTATGCGGAGTAGCGAGACTTCGCATACCGCATACCGGTGTTGAGGTATTCGCCGAGTACAATCCAAAAGTGCACTTCGGTATGCACTGTTCAACACTGAACCGAATTGGAGGGAAGTGACGACATTGCACAAACGAGTATGTGCAACTGTCTGTTGCGAGCACCTGCGCAACTACTCCTGGGCAGGTAGAAAATACACCTGACGTTATTTTCACCTGATGGCATTTTCACCTGGCAGTGCCAACCTGGAACCGCATACTAGAGTAGGTGCTTGCACGTTCTCCTTGAACAACGTTCTTCATGAACAACGTTCTCGTAGAACGTTCTCGCACATGTCACTATGATTCAAATAAGGTTCATGTTGTAATCAATCAATTAATCAATTTCTTTCTTTCGTTACTGGATACCAAGCCTGTTGCTGTGTACCAAGCATACCATTCTCCAATTACCAGTATCCGGTTTCCAACAAGTCCGTACCACAAACCTCACACTTCACTCTCTGATCGTGCAAACTCTACGCCTAGGCTCTCCCATTATCGTCGATTTTCCGCAAAAGGCTCTTGATATCAAGTGTTAGGCCCGCTGGCCTAAGTATGTCAGAATGTGATGTTTGTCTAGCCTGCAGTGGGGTACTCTATAGCGAGTACAGCCCGAATTAGGGTTTGCTATATGTACTCAACTGCCTGCTAGTGAAAACCTTTCTTTCCTGTTTCTCGTTTTGGCGGGGTCGACTAAGTCGATGATGAAACACGACGGAAGACTTTGGCGAAAGAACCATTGGCGAGATAAGCGAAGAAGCAAGGTTGATATAGTAAGCAAGAGCAATTGTGGGAAATTGGTTTGTGGGACTAGGAATTAAAAGGCAAAGAAAGTAGAGTGCCATGTGGCGGATGGGCAATCTAGGAAATCCCAAAGTGATTGGATGAAGATAAGGTTGGGGTTGAGTTGGGGCACTGTTTAGGGTAAACCACCCATGAACAGTAAACTACCCCGTAACAATACTACATGGGGTCACCTTTTTCGCCTGAGCACCACTCCCTACCTGTCCATCTTCCCTCCCCTGAGGGATGGGTGGTTTTCATTATGGTGGTGTGTGTACATGAGTGTGCTGAGGTTCTTGTGGAGTGCGTGATGCTTGCGTGTACTTGCATCCCCTGATACAAGAACGTGAAATATCTCGATACGGTGCAAGGCCCTCCAATCGTTATCCGTCGTGCTGAGCGACCGATTGACCACAGCCAATCACGTCCGTTCGCGCCGCTTTTGTGTCCCACACCCACCTGCTCCCCCTCACTTTCCTGACTGGCAGGATCGCTTTTTCGAGGCTTTCGTTTCCATCTACAGTAACCGAACGACTGGATCGTGAACCTTGTTTGACTGGGTACGCGCACTATTTCGCCTCCTGAACCTTGTACAACCACTCATGATCGAAAAAACTTCTGTAACCGCGAGATAGCACACAAACTCAACATCTATGGCCGAATTGGTTACAGCGATACGTGAACTGCAGGAAACCATTCCCTATGTCTGTCATTCCCTAAACCATCCATTTCCTTGTCCGTCATCTCGTTCGCTGACAGACACTTCTACGGAGGCAACTAGAATGCAGGCTTAGTAGTGAGTGCATGGCGATGCGTCCTCGGGAACGAGTCTGCTGATGCGTCGGCGCGTCGCTTCTGTTCCCGCGTCGTCGATTACGTCGAGGAACGAGGCGTTTCTCGAGACGCCGCTCTTGATTGTCACGGCGAGCCAGTAGTACAACTCGTGTGTACTACTATTTTTGCTAAGCTCCAATAAGTTACTCTCCAGTAGTCCGATGCGTTCCTAAAAAACCATGTCGAGGGATACGTTTGAGCGATACCACGACATGCTACTAAGTCAGCATAACGGCAAGGCCTCCTCCTCGTGATAACTTATCGCAGAGTAGTCGTCGTTGTATCTGTTCTGATCCCTTTTTTTTTCCGTTCCCGCGAACCTACTCGTCTCCGTCGTAGTTTCTAGTCGGGATACATCTGTTCTCCGGAATGGCGACGCAAACACACCTCCGTCTGCATCCCCCGCCTCCCCGCCGCTCCGCTCAGCCCATCACGGCTGCCACGCAGCAAAGCCATCCGAGAACCCAGTGCCTCCCATTGCCCCTGGCACACTGCAAATGCCCTGCCGTGTCATCAACATCTGAATTTCTTCCAAGACTAGTCCCCAGACCATACCCTACATCTTCCTGCAGAATGTCCTCCTGGTTGTCCCCTAAAGTATCCCCAAAACTAACCTCTAGGCTCTCCCTCAGACCCTTCCCCAGACTTTCCGAAGGACTTTACCCCAGATTGTCCCCTGTATCTTCCTCTTCCTCCAAGCACGCGATAATGACTGATAATCCCTGGAGCGTGCCTCGGAACTGGAACTCGTCTGAATCGTCTCAGAAGCGGGACCGCTCGAGCGTGGTTCTGCGCGCCTCGAGCAACGGTAACATTGCCGGGCCCGCTGCGCGGGAGGTAGATATGATTCGGAAGGAGATCTTGGATCTGATCACATCCATCCAATGGCTGCAGAAGAAGATAAACTCGGATGGCCGTCAGACGGCGAACGGTAACGTCGACGGTGACGGAACGCAGGTGCACACAGTTTACGGGTCGAACCTGCGACCGGCGACGGAGATTCGTGGCCGCATTGAGCGGCTATTGGAGCGAGCCGTGTCGCTTAAAGCCATGGCGGGCCGAAGCTCCTCAAGCTCGCGACGCGTGCCAGTCCAAGTGACTGCCACTCTCAAAGTAAGTCGTCTCTCCTTCGTTATAAGGTATGCATCCGTCAGCTGAATGCCGTGACCGGGACGAAGCTCCTCAAGCTCCGCATTTCGCCCCTCTTGACCCCTTCTCACCCTTTCCCGCCGAAATCCGTTCCGCCCCTTCTTTCCTCCCAGTCCCTGCAGCGCGAGTACGCCTCTCCATCCGCATGGACCTTCCAGACATACCGCCATCCGCCCTCTACCTCACCCATCCTCACCCCCAATCCGCCCCTTCTGACCCCTTCATTCCACCCAGTCCCTGCAGCGCGAGTACGGCTCGCTGTACAACATCGTGCGCCTCTCCATCCGCACGGACCTGCCAGACATGCCGCCATCCACCCTATTCGACGAGCCTGAGGACGACCTGTATCACCCCTTTCCACCCCATCTTACCCCTTTTCACCCCTTTCCGCCCCTTCTCACCCCTCTCCACCCCCCCCAGTCTCTGCAGCGCGAGTACGGCTCGCTGTACAACATCGTGCGCCTCTCCATCCGCACGGACCTCCCAGACATGCCGCCATCCGGTCTCTTTGACGAGCCTGAGGACCCCGCTGCCGGGTCACTCGCAGCACAAGCTGCAGCAGGGGGATTGGAGGAAGGGGTTGAGGCGGCAGGACGACCGTTGGATGCTGCGTTAGCGTACTCATACGATGCCCAGGTGTGGCTGTGTGTGGGGAATGTGCGGGTAGTAAATTTAGTTTTTCAAAGGAAAAAGAAAGCAATATAAGGCGTTGCCTATCTTTTTGTGCAGAACTAACACAGTCACCACAGTTTCACATTCGCTTAACCTTCACTCCACTGGTGCATTCACCCTCCTCGCTACCCACCCCTCCCTCAGCCCTACCCCCCCCCCACCCCCCTCCCCTCCCACAACCCCGCTCACTGTGCGTGTCTGCGCTCTCGTAAGAAAGGGACTCTGCTGCTGCGCTGGGCTCGAATGGTGCATTCGCTCCCTTGTTGCCACCCCCACACCCCCACACCCGCCCTACCCTCCCACAACCCCCCTCAATGTGCGTGTCTGCGTTTTCTTGGCAGAGGGACTCTGCTGCTGCGCTAGGCTCAATGCTGGAGATACAACAGAGGGTGCAGCAACAGGTGTGTGAAAGTGTGTGAATGGGTCTAAGTGGGTGCCAGTGGGATATACATGCGTAGTACGTACGTACGTACATGGGTGTATTTCTTTTGTCCTGGTTGCATCCGCGTTTTGAGGCATCATAAGTCGCAAACCCCTTTGTTTCAATGGCCTCCTCTTGCTTCCCTCTACTCCACAGATATCAGCCATGAGTGCTGCTGGTGCTGGGTCCGCCCTTGGACCTCACTCCACCTCCCAAACACAACCAACCGCCTCCAACCCCTCAGCACACTCCTCCCAGCCGGCAATACCATCCTCTACAGCCGCTACAGCTGCAGCGGCGGCGTCTGTAGCAGCAGCAGGGGGTGGCAGCAGCCCCTTCGCGAGCCTGTGGAAGAACATGGCCTCTCAGCTCTCGCGGGCGTTTGAGACGCTGCTGCCTCCCCCCTCCGCTGACGATGCTCCCCTGGGAGGGAGCGCTGGGGCTGGGGGGCTAGCAGCAGGAACAGCAGGGGCGGCAGGAACAGCAGGGGCGGCAGGGGCGGCAGGGGCAGCAGGGGCAGCAGGGGCAGCAGGGGCGGTAGGGCTGGTAGGGACAGAAGCAGGGGCCGTAGCAGCAGGGGGAGCGGGGTTGGTTGTAGGTGAGAGCGGTGTGGCAGCAGTGGAGGAAGCGTGGGGGGGAGACGTGCAGACTGGCAGCAGCGGTGTCATTGATATCACTGTACGTGGTGTCTTTCTTCCATTTATTTATTGTTGAAAAACAAAGGGGAGGGGGGAGGGGAGGGAGGATTGGGGGGGTTGAATGGTTTGCTCTGGTGTATTTCGAGTTGAGTAAGAAGCATGCAGTCTGGCAGCAGCGGGGTTTTTTATATCACTGTATGCGCTCTACCTGCCCCTCCCTCTGCCTCTCCCACTACCCCTCCCTCTACCCCTCCCTCTTCCTCTTCCTCTGTCGTTCGCTCCCTTGTAACTCACCCACACCCCCACTGCCCCCTCTCCCCTTTCGCCTCTCCCTCGCTTTTTTTCTTTCTCTCTACATGTGACGCTCGTTTGTCAGCAGCCCTCACCCTCTCCCCTTTCGCCTCTCCCTCGCTTTTTTTCTTTTTCTCTACATGTGACGCTCGTTTGTCAGCAGCCCTCACCCTCTCCCCTTTCGCCTCTCCCTCGCTTTTTTTCTTTCTCTCTACATGTGACGCTCGTTTGTCAGCAGCCCTCACCCTCTCCCCTTTCTCATCCCCCTCTCTCTCCTCTTCACCCCCTTACTCCCCCCCGCAGCCCCAAGCCCCCCTGGCAGGCGCGCAGAGCAGCCTGGTGCGGCTGGCGGGGGAGGTGCGATCTGAGGACGCTCTTATCTCGTCAGTCAACCGTGAAATGGAGGAAGAGAGGCAGAGGTTGCTGGGCAAGGTAACACAAGAGGAGAGTAGGGGAACAAGGTTAGCTTGGGACCTATCAGACAATGGAGGGGAGTAAAAGGAGGGGAGTAAATGGAGGGGAGTAAAGGGGGGCGAGTATGGGAGGAGAGTAAGGGGGGAAGAGTAAGTTGAGGAGAGCAATGAGAGGGAGTAAAGGAAAGAGTGTTGAAGGAATGAGAGTGGCAATCGGTGGCACAGGAGGTGCAGTAGCGAGTGACAGTGGAGAGGGGGACCATGGTTGGGATGGGGCAGCTGCACTGGCAGTCAGTCAGTCAGTCAGTCAGTCAGTCAGTCAGTCAGTCAGTCAGTACTCCCTTCTCGTGTTCCTATGGTTCGGCTACTCCGATTCCCCCACCAACCCACTTTAATCCACTCCACCCCACTCCACTCCTCCCCACTCCACCATGCAGGTGCAAAGCGTGGCACAGGAGGTGCAGCAGCGAGTGTCGGTGGGGGATATGGAGGCCGTGGTGGGGGCAGCAGTGGAGTCGATGCAGTCAGAGCTGCAGGCAGCACAGCATCGCACCCGCCAGCTCCTCATACAAGTGAGGCTTTTACGGTCATTTTGCAGGGCTTTGTTTGGGAATTCTCAAATAAACCCTGCACGGTCACTTTGAATTTATATCGCATCTTGCTCCACACACAACCTTTCCATGGCCGGGGGTGTGATACCTGCTGCTGCAGGTGGTGCTGAAATATCGCGAGATGCAGTTGAGGCAGGAGGAGTGAGAGAAGGAGCATTTCTGCCATGTCTGGTGGTGTGAATTGTGCCGTGTTCTCCCTTCTCTTTTTGATGGTGTTGCCGCAGGTGGAGCTGAAGGACCGGGAGATGAGGCTGAGGCGCGAGGAGTGGGAGAAGGAACGGTCTTCCATGCTGGCCTCGCTACAACAGCTCGTACTCGCTAAAGGCGGATCCGTTACCAGCAGTGTGGGCGGCAATGGTAGTACAGGCGCCAGTGATGGCGTGGATGGGCATGGGGACAGCAGCAGCAGCAGCAGCAGCGGCCGAAGCAGCAACGGCAGGGCCATACCCACATTCTCCTCCTCATCCTCATCCTCCTCTTCCTCATCCCCATCCTCCCCCCCGTCGCCCTCTCGAAGCAAAGCACAGCGATCACCAGGATCAGGATCAGCAACAGCCACAGCCACTGCCACTCCTGAGCCAGAAAGCACTGGGGATTCTATCATGCGTCTTCTTGCCCTCCAAGCAGCTGTTTCTCGAGCAGAAGAAGCTGAGCTGGCAACCGCCGCCCGGCTGGAGCGCGTCGCTGACGTGCTCGGGCGGGAGATTGCCAAGTTGCGGCGCGACAAGCGGGCGCTGGAGTCGCGCGCGCAGCTGCTGACGTGGCGGCTGGAGGCGGTGCATGCCAAGCTGGCGGCGGTGTATGGGGAGTTGGTGGGAGTGAGGGATGCGATGAGTGAGGGGAGGGTGGAGGAGGGGATGGCGATTCTGGAAGGGGTGATTGGGGAGGTGGGGAGGTGGACTAGTAACACAGCGATGGAGCAGGGTGGACAGGGAGTGGGTGGAGTGAGTGAGGGAGGAGGAGGGAGAGGAGGGGGAGTGAGTGGGGAGGAGGGGAGGAGGGAAGGGGAGGTGGTGGCAGGGTGGTGGGATGACTCTCCTCCTGGAGAGTGGGCTGAGTTTGGGAAAAGTGAGAATGAATCGGAGAACGGGGGTGGGTCGGATGAGGAGAACAGGAGGGAGGAGAGGAGGAGGAGAGAGGAGCTGATGTCTCTGGTGGCGGTGGATGGGGAGGAGGGGGAGGCGGGTGGGGAAGGGGTGATTGCGGTGTTCTATGAGACCGGGTGGGAGCAGGCATTTATTCACCACAACGGCACGCCTTCAGGGTGAGTCAATCTTATTGGTCTATCAATGGGAGGAATTCTGCAGTGGCATGAATGGTTTGAGTCAGCCAATATGCGGCATGCTTTCGGTGTTCTATAAGGCAGGGTGGGAGCAGGCATTCTTTCACCACAATAGCATTCATTCTTCGTGCAATGCAGTGCAGTCTCTGGCAGCTATGAGACTGTCTGCAAGCTGTCTGTCTCCTTCCCCTCTGTCTCACTCACTCCTGCGCCCTCGCCCCTCTCTCCCAACAGCTGGACGGCAGTGCCAGGCATGAAGATGAAAGACTCCACTGCCATGGGGCCTTTGTGGCTCATCTGCCTCACCTTTTGGTGCCTGCTCCCTCTGCCTCTCCCCCTGTGCTCCCCCCCTCTCTCCCAACAGCTGGACTGCAGTCCCAGGCATGAGGATGAAGGACTCTACTGCCACGGGGCCCGCTGGCTTTCCTCTCAAGGTGCTTTCCTTGTTGCCTAAGACACCCTGCTGAGTCGCCCTGCTGGGCGGAGTGGTTTCATTTGGGTCATTCAGTTCGACGTCTCATCTGCATGCCACTTCACCCACATTTTATGGGCCCTCTACTCAATTGAATCCGCTTTCCCACTTCTTCCCTTTTCTCTCCCCGCCCCGTCCCCTGCTGCCTCTGCTCCCTTCCCCTGCTGTGGGGATTTCGTTTTGTCTTTCTGTGCTTCTTGTATCTCCCTCAATGTTCTCCCTCCTTCCTTCCCCATTCGTTACCTTACCTCCGCTCCCCTCTCCTTTCCTCCCCTGCCTTTCCCCTTCTTCCCCTTCACCCTCTCGTCCTGGGGTCTTTTCTTTGTGTCGCCTCTTGCTGCAGGTGTACTCCATAAGAGCATCCTCACTTGAGTTTGTGACCAACAATGGGGCGGCTACATGGGACAGGTGAGGGAGGCCAAGGAGGAAAAGGGGGGAGCAAGAGGGGAGGGGCGGAAGAGAGAGAGAGGGGAGGGGCGGAAGAGAGAGAGAGAGAGGGGAGGGGCGGAAGAGAGAGAGAGGGGGGGAGATGGGGGAGGGGAAGGGGGGGGGAAGGGTTTGGATTAAGGGTGGAGGGGGCGCGGTGGTAAGGTTTTGGGTTGGGTGGAGAGGAGGGAGTGAAGAGAGGGGAGGAGGGAGTGTAGAGGGGAGAAAAGGGGTTGAAGGAGGGGGGCCGGGGAGGGGAGGTGGAGGATATGGTGGGGAATTCTCAAATGAGGGTGCATTGCAAAAACATGGTTGTCTTTTATGCTCCTTCGACCACACCATCAGTTGCCGCTCCTTTTTGTGTGTGTGCGTGCTTTGTACAGTTCCCCGAGCGGTGGAAACTACACCATTGATCGCCCAGGTTGCTTTGTCCTGTCATCTGGACGTTTAACAGAGTTTAAATGAGCCGGTTTTTTCTTGGGGGTTTGTATTTATGCACTTGTAGGCCTGTGTGCCCATTTGTAAGTTTGTGGGTGCCCACTTGCCTGAAAGTACAACCTAGGTATTATTTTTGCTTTTGTGTGGGAGGAAATATTGTACCGTAACCTGAAAAATAGACGCGATAGAGTCATACAGTCTGGATCGTGCGGAGCGCCAACCCAAATTGTGCAAAAAATCGCGGGAAACCACACTCCCTCGCCTCTGACGCGTTCCACACGCGTCCGAGGCAAGTTGCTTTCAGGAAGAAGAGCAGGCTTGTTTTGTTCCGAGCCTTCAATATAGTTCGAAACACACCTGGAGGTCTGTTTGGGAAATGTGATTCTGTCATGTGACAGGCTGTTTCGTTGTGAAAGCGCTCTGGTCTGGAAACAGGCTCGGCTCGGACGAGCCAAGGAGGGTCATGGTTTGCCTCGCTCACCCCAGGCCAAACTCATTTCTTCCGAGCCTGTGTGCCGTCTTTCAGACCTCACAGTCAGCCAAGCAAGCAACGCCTTCGCCTGGAATCCATCCATACCCTTTTGTCCGTCCGTTCCGTACTTGTCATAGGAGTTTCCTAGGTCCGCGCGTGGGCTGGTGTGATCTCTCGGGTTTCTGAGGCAGCATAGGAAAGGGATAAGGGAGCAGGTTTTGAGGCCAGATTACCGAGGTTGTAGGGAATTTCGATAAGCGCGTGTCGTTTCTTTGCGATCAACGGAGGTGCTCTGCGCTCTTCAGCGTCCGATCTATAGAAATAAACCGCAACAGCTGCGTAGGTATTATCAGCGAAAACTAGCGCTAGGACACTTAGGGTCCTGTGAGCGTTGATTTCTTCAAATTGTACTTCTCAGTGACTGTTCGCCACGACAGGCTTTTTCGCATGTTAGTGCCGTTTGTGGTCCAATTTTAGGTTTGTAAAACGCAGGGAGCTTCTTACGAATTTAACGGCTCGATCTCATGAGCCTTCGGTCGCTGGCAAGTTCTGATCGTGCTAAAGTATTGTAACTTTCATGCTGCCTCGCAGGTTCCAGCTTCGATTTCTTTGTCCATATTTTTGTGTGTACTTATGTAATCTTTAGTCCCTGTAGCATCTAGAGTCCGTGGGAGAAGTCAAATTATCTACGTATCCTACTCCGTACTTATCTTCGATATGGCTCGCTCAGAGATCGAGATCGACAGCCTTGTATCTGATTCCAGGGATTTTAGTTCTGCCGGGAGCGACCAGAAAGACTCGAACAAACGTCAAACCGCAGTAGAGATGCAACAGCAACAGCAGCAGCAGCAACAGCGACAACATTCAAATCAAAACCCGAACCAGAACCCGAGCCAGAATCCGAACCAGAATCAGCGGTCGGGAGCGGAGCAGGCAGGCGGCGAAGGAGGGGAGGATGATGAGCGGAGCAAAGAGGACGTGTACACTGCCGCGGCTTATGGCGACCTGGGGAAGCTGAGACGGCTGGTGGAAGAGGAAGGTCATTCCATCCATGCCACTGATGGCGGCGGATACTCCGCGCTACAGTGGAGCGCGCTTAATAACAAACCCGTTATAGCGACGTACCTGCTCGATGTGAGTGGTTCTATCATCGATGTGTACAGGATGAGATCAAACGTGAATTCGCATTCATACACGTTTTCGTTTCGATTTTCGTGTGTTTGGTCGTGTTGATCTTGCTTGGAGGGGAACCAGGAGCGGGTGGTGAGGCGGAAAGGCTTGGCTATTTGTGCTTACAACCAATCAGTTACTTCCATATTCCGTTTCATTATGATCGCGCTGAAGGCGGCGTCACACTTTATAGTTCTCACAGAGATGAACGCGCGCGCTGGTCAGGGTTTCTGAAGTTCCTAAAAGAGAATCCGCGCACCAACAGTTGCGCTGATTGGCTCACTTCTCGTCACCACTCTCCCACCCCCCAAACCCTGTTTCGCCAAGAGGAAGAGCGAAACTTGAAAGCGAAAAATGCAGACCGCGCTGCACTGGTGCCAGTTCACGGGCGTTTGCGTAGCTTTCCCTTTTCCCCCACCTTTTCCCGCTCCAATCCCTCCGCTCGTTCCTGTCCCCAACCGCCTCTCTTTTCCACCAATTCCTGCCTTGAATGAATCCTGCCTCCATTATACCCTGCATGTTCCACATGTTGCCTTCAGAAAGGAGCAGACGTGAACGCCGAGATCCCCCCCTCCCCACACACCCCCCCCCAACCCCCCCACCACCAATTCCTGCCTTCAATCAATCCTGCCTCCATTTACCCTGCATGCTCCAAATGCTGCCTTCAGAAAGGAGCGGATGTGAATGGCAAGGATAGGTCGGGACAGACGGTCTGGCTGTAGGGAGTGGCATTGCTGTTTGGTTGCCTTACCAGGGTGAACCTCACTCCCTTGCATTACAATTCCACCAAACGCAGAAAGGAGCGGACGTGAATGCCAAGGATAGGTCGGGACACACGGCGTTGCATTGAGGAGTGGCCATGCTGCTTGATTTCCTTACTTGGGTGGTCCCCACTGCCTTGCTATTCCCCCAAACGCACCCCTCCAAACGCAGAAAGGAGCGGACGTGAATGCCAAGGATAGGTCGGGACAGACGGCATTGCATTGGGCGGCAGTGCGAGGTGGCATTGCTGTTGCTGACGTGTTGCTGCAACGTGGCGCTGACGTGGAGATTGCAGATTCACACGGTTACAGGGTAAACATGCAGCAAAAGAGCCCAGTAGGGTTACCTGGTAACCACAGGGGGTATGGAGCAAGCAGAACGCTGAAAGTAATCATGAACAAGCAAATGCTGCTTCAGAGTTCACGTTTTGAACAACTTGGTTTCCGAACTTCGAACTTTAGCAGATGTCCGAAGCCCTCTGAAACCCCTCCGCATCCCTCCAACCACCAACCCAACCCCCACTTCTCCCCCCTCCCCCCTCTCCGGCTCTCAACCATTCAGACCACACACGTGGCAGCACAGTATGGGCAGACAGCGTTCCTATACCACATCGTGGCCACATGGCAGGCCTTGCCTGATAGCACTGACAATGACGGCCGCACGCCGCTGCACTGGTGAGGCTTTAAGTTTATCAGGATTACTGGTGAGGCTTTGTGCTTTCTTAGATCAGCTGGTGAATTGTTGCTTGGGTGCGGCTACATGGGGGCCTTGCCTGATAGCACTGACAACGACGGCTGCACGCCGCTGCACTGGTGAGGCTTTGAGCAAATCAAATTCACTGGTGAGTTGTTGCCTTTGTCTAACATAGGCTGGTCTGTTCTCATCTGTGACTTTTGAGTCGACTCAGAAGTTACATAGGGCGGCACCCGGGGCAATCAAGCGTGGGCTGGGCTGTTCTCATCTGTGTTGGCACCGGAAAGAAGATTGTTTTTGAGACGTCTTAAAAACACTCTTCTTTCACGTGGGCTGGGCTGTTTTCATCTGTGCCGGCACTGGTATGTGCTTCTTTCTCCCCAACCTCTCTCGCCCCTCCCACAGGGCTGCCTAAAAGGGCATGCAGACCCCGTCCGCCTGCTGCTCTTCTGTGACGCGTATCACTCCCAGCCAGGCAAGGAGGGGTGCACGCCCCTGCTCTCTCTCCCGGTCTTCCAAACCCTCCCCTCTCCCCTCTCCCCTTCCCTCCCGCTTGTCTCTTCCCTTAAATCATCCCACAGGGCCGCCTACAAGGGCTTTGCCGACCCCATCCGCCTGCTGCTCTTCTGTGATGCCTACCTCTCTCGACCTGACAAGAAGGGGTGCACGCCCCTGCACTCATCCACTCTCCCCGTCTCATCCCCTCCCCCCGCCCTTCCCTTCTTGTCACTCCCCTGTAATCCTTTCCAGGGCCGCCTATAAAGGCTTTGCGGACCCCATCCGCCTGCTACTCTTCTGTGACGCCTATCTTTCTCGGCCAGACAAGGATAGTGTTTTGTCTCTCTTTCTGAGCCTGTCATCCTCCCTGTGTTTCACCCCCTTCTGTCGCTCCTCAGGGCGGCCTATAAAGGCTTTGCAGACCCTATCCGCCTGCTGCTCTTCTGTGATGCCTACCTGTCTCGGCCTGACAAGGAGGGGTGCACGCCCCTGCACTGGGCAGCAATCCGAGGCAATCTGGATGCGGTTACCCTATTGGTCCAGGCTGGCAGCAAGGACGATCTGATTGCCACGGACTCCACTGGGAGCATGCCAGCTCAGCTGGCGAGTGATAAGGGCCACCGCCATGTGGCGCTTTTTCTGGTGAGGTGGATGATGTTGCTGGCTGACGTGGCACTGGCACGTGGCGGTGTTTGTAATGATTCGGTTGATGCGGGGTGTGCAGCATGGATTGGTGATATGTTGACACAAGTGTTGCTCGTGTTTGATTTCACGGGTGCTGTTGAATCTTTGGTGAAAGGGTTTATGGTAACACGGTCTATCTCTAACGCTGTGTTTGTGTTACTGCTGAGATTTGGGCTTTGAGAATCACTTGAGCACTTAGTCTTACAGAGCGTTTTACCGCTGTTGTTCTTTTGCTTAAGCCTACGCTACACAACTGCTGCTCTCTGAGATTACGACTGAACAATTCTGTGTTCGTGTCCCTCCATCTCTCTCCCTCATCTTCCTCCCCTCAGTCCAATGCGCGCAAGGTGTTTGATGCACGGCACGACACCAAAGGGCTGGCAGGCAAGATGGCGAGATACGGGCTTGCACCCGCGCTCTGGGCGGTCATCATTGGGCTACTTATTGGCTTCACAAACGCTGTCGTTTTCTGTAAGTGCTGCATCATCACACACGCATACATGCTGCCTGCCCCAATGCAGTATTGTTCTGCTTCCGTATAGTCTCAGTGATGGTGTTTCGTTTTAAGGGGTGGATAGCAGCAACCATGTTGTTTGTTGGGCTATCACTATCTGTGCAAGCATGGACTGAATAACCCTGTTCTCCCTCCTCCCGTCACTCTCCTCCTGTCCTCTTCTCTCTTCTCGTCCTCTCTGCTTTCGCTTCCACCAACCAGCCACCACGCTACCAGTGATAACAGCAACCATGGCAGCGTGGGCGTGGGCTGTATTCATTTGTGCTGGCACTGGCATGTATTTTCTCTATCGTTCCTCCACGTGAGAACCTCCACCTCTCCTCTCAGCACTTCTGCCTTGCAATCTGCACCGTGTTATGTGCACCTGTCCACAACCCTTCCCCCCTCCACCGTTACTCCACGTTCCTCCGTCATCCTCTCATGCTCTCGTCCTCCCCTTACTGTTACGTCCCGAGCTCCAAATTTCCCCCCTACCTTCACACCTGGTCTTCTCTCTCATTCCTTTACCACCTCCGTAAGTGCCCTGTACCCTTTCTGAAACCCGCTTACCACCCCTTGCCCTGCGTTACCCCGTGTACCTCTGTGGCTCAGGCAAGATCCAGGTTACGTACAGTCACCTCGGTTACTCAGCTCTAAGAAGGAGCAGCAAGAGGTACGATTTGGTGGAGCGTGATGGGAACAAGGGGGGCTGGATGGGGAAGGGGGGCTGGATGGGGAAGGGGGGCTTGGACCATTCCTCATCTTTATCTTTACTCTCCTTTCCTCACTACCGTTTCTCCACTCCATTTTCCATAACCATTCTTTGCACCTGTCCTGTCTGGGCTGCTGCAAGGTGTCAGACGCTCTCCTTTATGCCTTTAACCTCCTAAATTTGAGTCGCGAACTCCAACCCCAAAACCTTGATCAGCCATTTCGGGTCAGTCCCTGTGTAAAGTGTCAATCCCTGTCTCACCTCACCCTCCTGTCATGCCAGGAAATGGTGCCACTACGGGTCGACTACATGGATCAGTGCTGCAGTCATAGCTTTGCCCTGTGCGTTGCTGACCTCTCAGCCTGTTACCTTTCCCCCATGCACCGTCTCTCCCCCCTATGTCACTGGCAGGAAATGGTGCCACTACGGGTCGACTACATGGATCAGTGCTGCAGTCATAGCTTTGCCCTGTGCGTTGCTGACCTCTCAGCCTGTTACCTTTCCCCCATGCACCGTCTCTCCCCCCTATGTCACTGGCAGGAAATGGTGCCACTACGGGTCGACTACATGGATCAGTGCTGCAGTCATAGCTTTGCCCTGTGCGTTGCTGACCTCTCAGCCTGTTACCTTTCCCCCGTGCACCGTCTCTCCCCCCATGTCACTGCCAGGAGATGGTGCCACTACGGGTCGACTACATGGATCCAGTGCTGCAGTCGGGCCAATGGTCACAGCTATGCTGTGTGTTGTTCCCCTCTCAGCCTGTTCACCTTCCTTTCGCAACCCGTCCTGCAACCATGTTGTGTCACTGCCAGGAGATGGTACCACTACGGGTCGACTACATGGATCCAGTGCTACAGTCGGGCCAATGGTCGCAGCTGTGTGTCACATGCCGGGTACGTGCCGTGTCTCACCTGCGTGTCACGTGGGTGTCACCTGCGTGCCACCTTGTGTGTCACATGCCGGGTACGAGCCGTGTCTCACCTGCGTGTCACGTGGGTGTCACCTGCGTGCCACCTTGTGTGTCATTTGCCGGGTCTGCTGATATCTTCTTTCCACGTCAACTGCTCTGTTGAACAGATGGTTTGCGAAAGACTATTTCCAACACCAGCGTTGAGTGAGAAAGACTCATTGCACCATACGCTCCTTGTTCTGTAGGGCTTTTCTCCACGCACGTTTTTGCACCTTACGCTCGCACGCACTCAACCCCTCCCTGTCCACGCGCACACTCATACACATACACGCTCCATTCCGCTCCCTGCTCTGTCTAATCGTTTCTTTCCTCTCTCCCTCCCGTCTCGCCTCTCCCTGCTCTACTGAATTGTTTTTTTCCTTCACCAGATCGTGAGACCTCGGCGGTCGAAGCACTGCTCCATCTGCAACAAGTGTGTGACTCAGTTCGACCACCACTGCCCCTGGATCTCCAATTGTGTGGGCAAGGTCAGTGGCCGTAGTGTGCTCTGTCAGCAACCCCTTTGTGCTCATAGCAATAGAGCAGGCAAGGCGGCCGAAGCACTGCTCCCTTTATCTGCAACAAGTGTGTCACTTAGTTCGACCACCACTGCCCCTGGATCTCCAACTGTGTGGGCAAGGTGAGAGAGGTAGCACTGGGGACATGGCATGGCATGGTATAACCTTTCACAGGCTACCGCATGGCAGTACAAGTGGCTTCTACCCTGCTCCTTCCTCTCCACCCCTCATGTTCTACCTTCTATTCTATCTTACTTCTTTATCTCCCATTGTCTGTCTGCTTTCACATGGCAGCGCAACAAGTGGCGTTTCCTCATGGTGCTCGTGCTTGAAGCCTCTCTTTCCTCCCGTGCGCCCCCTCACTCTCTTCTCTTTCTCCCCCTGTGCGTGTTCCACCTCTTCTCACATTGGCAGCGCAACAAGTGGCATTTCCTCATGATGCTCGTGCTTGAAATGGCTGCCATGATCATCGCCCTCTCCCTCGCCTTCGGCCGTGAGTTACTTTCCCATGGTTTTCTAAAACAGGCCTTCGTATTTTCAATCTCTATCTTCCTCTCTCATTCCATCCACTCCACCATGATCATTGCCCTCTCCCTGGCCCTTTGCCATGAATTTCTTTCCCTCTTCCTGTCGCTCCCTCTCACCCTTCCTCTACCTCGCCCCCTCTCTCCCCCTCTCTAATTTTCTTCCACTGCACAGAAGTGTTTGCTTCTCTTACCATAACCTTACCTCTCACAGAAGTGTTTGCTTCTCTCACATTGTTCCCATTTCCCCCTACTCCCTTCCCCGTCTCACCCCCCTCCCCAGGCCTGATGAACCTGGAGGGAGCGCCAGCAGCAGGGGCGGGGTGGTTGGGCTACGTGGCAATGCACCACACAGGGGCGCTGCTGTTCATACTCGCGGATGGCTTCATGCTGCTGTCCGTGCTGGGACTTGTTGTGTCACAGGGCTCTCAGGTGGGTGCTGACGGTTATCATACCACACCACACCACATCGCACTGCACCGCACCGCACCACACCACACCACACCACAATCCACCACTTCCAACCCTTCTGCCATCACCCGCTCGCCCCTAACCTTTCGTTGATCATTCCCCCCCAACTTCATGTCAACATGTGGCTCTGCACATCAGAACAAATGAAATGGCCACCGCTCGTCAATGCTCGTACCTGAGAGTCCCTAACGACAAATTCTCCAATCCCTTCAACGCTGCCCCCCCTCCCTTCTCAAACCTCCCATTAACCTCGCCCCATATGCACCTCCAACAGGTGGCTCAGAACATCACAACCAATGAGATGGCCAACGCCCATCGCTACGCCTACCTGAGAGGCCCTGACGGCAAATACTTCAACCCATTCAACCGCGGCTGCTACCTCAACTGCTTGCTCCTTGGCCCTCATGCCTTCTATGGTCCCTGCTTCCCCTCCCCCTTCATCAACAGGTGGCTCAGAACATCACGACCAACGAAATGGCCAACGCCCATCGCTACGCCTACCTGAGAGGCCCTGACGGTAAATACTTAAATCCCTTCAACCGCGGCTGCTACCAAAACTGCGTCGATTTCTGGACCACTGGGGAAACCACCGACAGCGAAGGTTCCTGGAAGCCTCCTCCGCCGCCCGGCCCGTCAGGCGCATTTTTCCGGCGGATTTTTGGGGTTGGGCGGCACGGGGAGAGAGGTGGCAGGTGCTGTGCGCATAACCATGGGCCGGCGGGGGGAGCAGGAGGGGGCGGTCCAGGGAAGGAGTGTGAGGGAGGAGGTATGGGTGGAGGTGGTGATCGCCCTCATTCTCACACTCACTCACACTCGCACTCTCACTCACACTCTCACGGCCAGACCAACTCAAGCTCCTCGCTCTCGTCGCTGTTGAGTGTGGTAGCAGCACAGGGGCGAGCAAACCAACACACAGCCATTCCCATTAACACAGCTGGCAGCAGCGGCAATGGCAGTGGGAGCAGGGAGAGCGAGTTAGCTCATCTGCTCGGCAGCACGAGCAACGACAGCAGCAGGCCTCTAGGGTTAGGGTTAGGGTTAGGGTTACCTGGATTATCTGGTGCCGCTGCCACTGCTGCTGCCTCTGGTGCATCTGCTGCTGCTGCTGGTGCTGCTGGTGCTGGTGGTGCTGGTGGTGCAGGTGTGGCACCCTCTAAATCCCCTGTCTTCATCTCAGCTGAGAGCTCTTCTATTTTTGGGGGTGCTGCTCCCAGTGGTGCTGCTGTTACTACTGGCATAGCGGGGCATGCGGGGCGGGGGCAGAGAGCATCAGCAGGGCCTGTGGGGCTGGGGGGCATGGGGCTGGGTGCTAGAGTTGCGAGAGTGACTGCAAGAGAATAGACTCACTTCAGTCTATTTTCAGCAGCGGTGCTCCCAGTGGTGCTGGGGTTGTGACTACTGGCATGGCAGGGCATGGGGGCAGAGAGCGTCAGTGGGGCCTGCCAGAGTTGCAGGGAGCATGGGGCTGGGTGCTAGAGTTGCAAGAGTGGCGGCGAGGGAACAGACACGAGGGCGAGTTTTTGGCGTCTCCACAACTGATGCATGGAGCTTAGGGGCATGGAGCTTAGGGGCATGGAGCTTAGGGGCATGGAGCTTAGGGGCATGGAGCTGGGTGCTTGTGTGGGGGTTGAGAGGGTTGAACTTTGGTTGAGTGAATAGGTACTTGAGCTTGAGGCTGTGATGTGAGGCCCATCTACTATGGTCTGTAGTGTATGTCTGGTGGTATTGCAGATGCTACACTGCAAATACCGTATGGTACGGTACATGGCATAACAGCAGCAAAGGATGCAGTTGCTTTATTGCTTGATGTACCACATAAAACCAGCTCGTTACTATTGATCATAAAAGCACGCTTGATTTTGTGCCTGTCCCTGCTGCCTTTGGGAGCTGCATGTAAACCACCAAGAGGATAACTTAAAATAGAGGCTCCCATTTCCAAGCATGCACTGTGGGCACAGAGATTTCTACTCTTATGGCTGGGAAGGGACAGGGCCAATAGTAGCACAGGCAAGCCATCATTCCCCTGTGTTAACTGCAGCCACAATCAAGCAACCATCTCCCACAGCGCATTGCATCAACCCTCAGCTGCCAAGCCTCAGCTGCCAACCCTCAGCTGCCAAGCCTCTGCTGCCAAGCCTCTGCTGCCAAGCCTCTGCTGCCAAGCCTCTGCTGCCAACCCTCAGCTGCCAAACTTCCAGAGCGTTAGTGAGGGGACAGGTAAATCCAAACCTAAATGTGGCGAGCTGAACTGTTGCAACACCAGTAGCAACCCTCAGCTGGCTAGTTTGAAGGCGTCAATAAAGAGACCGTAGGTGAATCCCATCTTGAACACGTTCAGCAGAGCGAGTGGGAACGACGGGCGTAACGTGGAGTAGTATGATCTGGTTACCACCTCGGTGAAAACCAGACAAATCGCAGCAGCAGCCACGTCATTCACGCTCAGAGCGCCGAAGGAGAGAGAGATGGTTTGGGCGACGTAGAAACCGCCAAACAATGCGATGCCGCCGAACATTGCTCGGCGCAGCGGCCGGGCGGCAAAGTAACTGTTCACGCACCGCTGGATCTCAAGAAGGATGTTTAGCGGGCTGAGGCGAGGTAAGGAAGATGGTGGGAAGCTTCCAAAACCTCCAAACCTTGAACCCTCGTTTCCACTCCCGCCTCCCCGCCCGCTTCCCATTCCGCTCCCCCCTCCCCCTCCCCCTCCGCCCCCCCCCCCGCCCCCTCCCCCTCCCCCTCCCCCTCCCCCTCCCCCTCCCCCGCCTCCTCCCCCGCTTCCTCCGCCGCCTCCCCCGCCTCCCGCTCCGCCTGAGCCCCGCAATCCGCCCCCAGTTCCGCTCCCTCCGCCGTCGTCTGTTTCGTACCCGCTACGATCCCTCTCTCCGCTGCTTCCTTTGCTGCTTCTCCCCCACCATTTGAATCCAGACGTAGCTCGAGTTGACACGTCACGGCTCGGCCCTACGCGTTGTGGTAAACATGGGGTTCGTGGGACCGCTGCTGGGAACGGATATCGAGTCGGACTACAACGAGGAGATTCGGCTGCTGCGGAGGTGGTTCGTAGAGAAGGCGTTCCGCTATAAGCTGATGCGCTGCAATGTTCAGTGCAGTGTCTTGTGCAGTGGATGACCGTTCTGCTGGCAGTTTCGACGAAGCTGTTTTGAGCGCAACTTGCTGCAGATAACGAACAAGTAACCCGCGGGGAATCGGATATGCTACTAGCGCGTATGGGTCGATGAAGCCTGGAATTGTGGATACGCGGTGTCAAAACCTTCAATGGTGACGTCATTTGGCCTGATCAGTACCAACAGCTCACTGGTTAGCGACAGTGAGGCCTCAAATGGCAGATGATAAATTGACACGCAGATCGAACTTAATACTTAAATGGCGGAAACCTCTACAAGGCGTCGATACTCAATTAGTGCCAATCAAACGGCATAACTGCGACACCTGAAGGGGAATCAACTCAAAAATTAATCGCTCCTGAACGGTCACCGATTCCTAAGCGAACAAAAGCGATCAGGTTCAGATTCCATCGCTGGACCATGCGCCTCACAATTTGCGTCGGAACGCAAATGCAAGCTAATTGCATCAGATTATGGCCTAGCAAAACTTGTTCGTAGATGACCAGTCTACTATGGCTGGGATGGCTACTACTTGAGACCAAAACAGGTTTGACGAGCGGTGATCTTTGGATGATCTGATCAGTCGACAATTTCGAGGTTGTGCGACGTGCGACTCACGGGTGCGGCGCTGTGATTCGTCGTAGCAAGTTAGAACGTTTCGTCACCGTTGACGAACGTCTTTCGCAGTCAGGATGCTGGTTTCTTCGTTACCGCGACTTCATGGCAAGAGCCACGTTGGCACATCTTCTGTTCTACGAAGCCTGAAGCGACCTTGACAAGATGGTTGTAAACCACGAATCAACATCCGCGATATTGTTGCCTGCGACTAAATCGTGACAACCCTCAGCTTGTGTTGCGGAAAATCGTGTGGGTAAAGTTTTGACTTATATTTGAAAACACTTGATACTAAACCTTGTAATAACTATTACGGAGAAATCAGGTTCTCATACACCATAGGGGGCTTATAGTCAGGGCGTAGGATGAGCACTTCGGGTTCTCCCGACGCCACCTTCATCTGCAATATACTTCTCGGGACAAATTCCATACTCTGATAATAATAACACCGTAACTCCCGGCAAGCACATGCTACAGCCGCAGCATGTCAAGTCTGGAGACTCAAGTTGTTCTGGATCGCACCCAACCACCATAAAACTTTTTTGGGTTCAATTGTGGTTGCAAGAGTCGATGTACTTGTGAAGAGCAGATGTGTCCAGAGCGGGGAACTGTGACGTCACATACACAACAGCTTCTGCCAGCCTCCTGGTGGCCGCCTTGGAAGGACCCTGAGAGAGGTTTGGATAAGAAGGGTGTGCATATGATGAGTAGATGCACTAGGTGAGGTGCAATGCATGTGGGCACTTATAATCCTGCAGGTAAAGTGCTGAATCTAACAGCAATTACAGCTTGGGATGCTTAGTCGTAGCAAATGCGGGGCGTAAAAGCATTTGCTCAAGTGTTACTGCAATGCATACCTTCGCAGGATGATCTTGAAGGGGGTTTTGTTACACATACCTCAATATTGAGTGGCAAGACGGGGTCGTGGAGAGACAGGCGCAGCAGGAACCATCCACCAAACCCAGACACCCGCACCTGAGACAAAAGGCGCCGACCAAGGGCAATGCGCGAGAACAGCAATGCATCAGAGGAAGAAACGAGTGTTACGACTTACAAGCAATGAGCTGGACAAAAAAACAAAAGGAGGACACCACAAGAAGTGGCCGGCAACAATTTATTCATGCACTTGAAAGTAACATGCTGCCTGTGGCTTTTTTTTTTTTTTTTTTAAGTTAAAACCCCTTGAAACGGCAATCAGTGAAACGTCACACAGTAAACTGATCTTTCGATAATCCTAAAACGAAAGGAGAGGAAGTGAGAAAAACAAAGACATGGCTCTCACCCCCTCGTAGTTGACAGGCGCCTTGGAGAGCGCAGCATCGCTCCTCGCCTTGGCCGTGAGGGCCTAGGGGTTACTACTTCATGCCATGTCAGAAGGCCATGCATTCACACGGGGCATCACCCCTCATTCTCTCACTCCCATCAGCACATTGCTCTCACCCCCTCGTAGTTGACAGGCGCCTTGGAGAGCGCAGCATCGCTCCTCGCCTTGGCCGTGAGGGCCTAGGGGTTACTACTTCATGCCATGTCAGAAGGCCATGCATTCACACGGGGCATCACCCTCATTCTCTCACTCCCATCAGCACATTGCTCTCACCCCCTCGTAGTTGACGGGCGCCTTGGAGAGCGCAGCATCGCTCTCCACCGTGGCTGTGAGCGCCTCTAGCACCTTCTCTCCATACGGACGGAACCCTCTGCAAGAGACGGGGGTGATTGTGGTGATTGAACAGGGGGAGAGGCATGTGAAATTAAAGAGGTTAGCAGTTTTCAAGTGCCTTGGAGGGCGCAGCATCGCCCTCCACCGTGGCTGTGAGGGCCTCCAGAACCTTCTCTCCATACGCACGGAACCCTCTGGGAGAGAGAGATCGAGTACAGGGAGGTGAAAGGCATGTGAAGGTGAAAGGGTCACGAATAGAAGAACGCTTCTGTTTGCTCTTTTAGACTTTGGGATGTCATAAAACCAAGACGGTGCTCTTTCTCTGACTCACATGGGTGCCACGTCAGCATGGTCCTGGTTGATTCGCAGCCTAACTTCTGTAGCCTCGTCAGCCTCCTGCAGGTCCTCTATCATGCGAGTCAGCACCACACTGCCCTTCGCCTCTCCCTTGCCTGCTGCCGATGCGAGCTTTACAAGCAGCTTCACCTGATGGTTGGTTGGGAAGGGAGGAGGGAGAGGGTCAGAGAAAGAACCACCACCTACCAATGCATGCCCCATCCGCCTCCTGCAGGTCCTCTATCATGCATGCATGCCAGCACTGCACTTCTCTTTGCCTCCCCCTTGCCTGCTGCTGATGCCAGTTTCACCAGCAGCTTCACCTGATAGTTGGGAATAGAACAGGGAGAAAAAGGGTAAGGAGCCACCATCTCTCAATGTATCCCCCATCCGCCTCCTGCAGGAGAAACACGACAACATGACACCAATGTACTATCAGGTACCGTCGGCACTAGTAACGGACATACCATATGGCAGGCACCATTGTCCAGCCACAAGATAACACACCACGTTAGCATCACACCACGTTAGCATCACATGGACCAACATCACAAGCACACATACCATGAGGTAAGCTCCATCATCCAGCCATCTGTTCTCCTTGAGAGCCCCATGGCCGCTGGTCTCCATGGCGAGGTGACACTCCTCTCCCACCGAGTTCTGCGAGCACATAAAGGGAACACAGGAGCCAGTATAGCATGTATTACAATGAGCACTGGGCATACTCGATTTCATCCAGTGCTCTCTCGAATGCCTCGAATACCTCACTCCTTGAGAGCCCCATGGCCGCTGGTCTCCATGGCGAGGTGACACTCCTCTCCCACCGAGTTCTGCGAGCACATAAAGGGAACACAGGAGCCAGTATAGCATGTATTACAATGAGCACTGGGCATACTCGATTTCATCCAGTGCTCTCTCGAATGCCTCGAATACCTCACTCCTTGAGAGCCCCATGGCCGCTGGTCTCCATGGCGAGGTGACACTCCTCTCCCACCGAGTTCTGCGAGCACATAAAGGGAACACAGGAGCCAGTATAGCATGTATTACAATGAGCACTGGGCATACTCGATTTCATCCAGTGCTCTCTCGAATGCCTCGAATACCTCACTCCTTGAGAGCCCCATGGCCGCTGGTCTCCATGGCGAGGTGACACTCCTCTCCCACCGAGTTCTGCGAGCACATAAAGGGAACACAGGAGCCAGTATAGCATGTATTACAATGAGCACTGGGCATACTCGATTTCATCCAGTGCTCTCTCGAATGCCTCGAATACCTCACTCCTTGAGAGCCCCATGGCCGCTGGTCTCCATGGCGAGGTGACACTCCTCTCCCACCGAGTTCTGCGAGCACATAAAGGGAACACAGGAGCCAGTATAGCATGTATTACAATGAGCACTGGGCATACTCGATTTCATCCAGTGCTCTCTCGAATGCCTCGAATACCTCACTCCTTGAGAGCCCCATGGCCGCTGGTCTCCATGGCGAGGTGACACTCCTCTCCCACCGAGTTCTGCGAGCACATAAAGGGAACACAGGAGCCAGTATAGCATGTATTACAATGAGCACTGGGCATACTCGATTTCATCCAGTGCTCTCTCGAATGCCTCGAATACCTCACTCCTTGAGAGCCCCATGGCCGCTGGTCTCCATGGCGAGGTGACACTCCTCTCCCACCGAGTTCTGCGAGCACATAAAGGGAACACAGGAGCCAGTATAGCATGTATTACAATGAGCACTGGGCATACTCGATTTCATCCAGTGCTCTCTCGAATGCCTCGAATACCTCACTCCTTGAGAGCCCCATGGCCGCTGGTCTCCATGGCGAGGTGACACTCCTCTCCCACCGAGTTCTGCGAGCACATAAAGGGAACACAGGAGCCAGTATAGCATGTATTACAATGAGCACTGGGCATACTCGATTTCATCCAGTGCTCTCTCGAATGCCTCGAATACCTCACTCCTTGAGAGCCCCATGGCCGCTGTTCTCCATGGCGAAATGGCACTCCTCTCCCACCGAGTTCTACACCAGCACAACGAACGGACAGAAGCGAAAGAGCACAAGAGCGAGTTGCAGCATTCACCTCCATAACTGCTTCCGTTCTTTGGAAGGATACATTATGCTGAATACAAGGCATGGCATGGCATGGCATGGCATGGTATGGTATGGCAAGACATGGCACAGCATGAGAATCTCACCAGCCGCAATGCCCTCGCCAATCATGTTCTCGTGGCCCCACTTGAACCTGGCGGTATGGTGCGGTATGGCATGGTGTGGAGTGGTGTGGCGTGGTACGGTATGGTACAGCACAGCTTGCGAGTCTCACCAGTCTATGCCCTCATCAATCACGTTCTTGTAGCCATGCTTGAACCTGAGATGCTTGCCCCCTGATGCCATACCATGTCATGGCGGGGCGTGGCATGGTATCATGTGGTTAAGTGTGGTACAGCGTGGTGTGGTATGGCGTTGTATGGCATGGTACAGCATGGCATGCGAGTCTCACCAGTCTGATGCCCTCATCAATCACGTTCTTGTATCCCCGCTTGAACCGCAGGTGCTTGCCCCCTGATACCATGCCATGCCATGGCATGTCATCATCAGGTGGTATGGGGATACATATGCCATGGACACATGGAGTACATGCAGCGATGGATGCAGGGGGGTGAAGAGATGGCGGAGGGACACGTGAGAGTGATGAGCTCACATGCAAGATCAAATGGTGCAGAAAAAATCTGGTACATGGCATGCATGTGTGCGTGCGTCCCCATGCATGGCTGCGCTTGTGCATGCATGTGATCGAACGTGCATGCATGTGTGTGCATGTGCATGCACGTGTGTGCATATGCGGATGGCATGCGTGTGTATGTATGTGAATGCATGCTTGGACTGGTGCTACTGACCGAGCTTAGATTCAATGAATGTGGTCAGCCCATCAGATGTCACACTGTCCGTGACTATAGTGGTGCCTGGGTGCTGGGGAGGAGCGGGAAGGATGGGACGGGTGGTGGGAAGGGTGGGAAGAATGAAAAGGGTGGGGAGGATGGGAGGGGACAAGGTAGGGTGAAGAGATCCCTGTGTGACCCCTGTGATGTGAGACTCCTCACGGAAACAACAGACAGCTCAGCAGCACCATCCAGTCTCCTCTCCTCACCACCACATCCCACGTCCTCTCACCCCATCTCACCTTATCTCACCCCATCTCACCTCATCTCACCCCACCTCACCTCCTCGAGCACGATCGCTGCAATGAGGGCGATCAGACGGTTGCGGTTGATCTCCTTGCCGGACGAATCAACGGCTGCAGCCCTGTCCACGTCAGTGTCAAAGATGATCCCAAGGTCCGCCTTCTCCCTCAGCACCGCGCCTGTGATCGCCTCCATGGCTGCCTTGTCCTCTGGGTTCGGAATGTGGTTCGGAAACAGGCCTGGCGGAGGAACGTGGGTCAAAAGGGGGGTACAGTAAGGTGGTTGTGCGCGAGCATGCATACATGAGTCAAATGATGCTGCACCCTTTTATCATGCTGCGTAATTTCACCATGCCATCATGTAATTTAGAATAGCTTTTGCGATTTTCCAGAAGCAATTCCATCTTGTCATCATGTATGCCAGCCTAATAATCGGAGCATGTCACGTCATGCTGTCACATCTAACTCTGCCCCACTGTAAAAACACCATACCATCAGGTTCAAGGAATTGACTGCCAGCAGTGTTGGCTCCCAGAGGCTCCAGCACCCCGGCCTGGAAGATGCATACATGCATAGGAGCACACACATGCATGGAGGGACGAACATGCATGAGAGCACACACGGGTGGGAGCACACACGGGTGGGAGCACACACATGCATGGGAGGACAGACATGGATGAGAGGACACACATAGAACAAGACAAACGGGACGTACAAGAGGTTTTAGCGTAGAACAGGACAAACAGGCGAATGAGACAGACGAGACCAGAGATGGATGATGCAGGGGGAGGGGGAGAGAGAGCTCACAGCGAAGAAGCCTCCTGCGCCATTACCAGCATCAACCACGATGTGGTAACCCTCCAACGGACGATCTGTACACATGTTACACATGCACACATACATGAGCATCACGTGCCAAACACATAAGCACCAATCCGCTCCGCAGAGCCTTGGTTGCCTTGCGAAACGCGTGACTCATGTCGCTCCATATGGTCTCAGTGCACTCGACCCATGAAATCTAAGCTTCAATCCCGAAACCCACAACCATAGTCCTTAAACCCTGAACCACGTTAATATTTAACTTTATGGCACTATTAAAAGAAATCAAACGTACCTCCAGCCTTGGCAGCCTTCCTGACAGCGTCAACCAGGACGGCAGCGTATCGCTTCATATAGTCCACATGCACCGTCTGACGATGAGGTAAGTGCACTGTACTGCATATAATAACATCTGTGTACGTACAAATATAACGTACCTCCAGCATTGGCAGCCTTTCTGACAGCGTCGACCAGGTCGGCAGCATATCTCTTCATATAGTCCACGTGCACCGTCTGCTTCTCCGCCTTCTCCTGATTGGCCCGCACGGATTCTGCTGACATGGACTCGTAGATCTGGGCGGCAGACGCCAGGATGGCCGCGATATCCGCCTTGTTTGCGCCGCCCTTCGCTGTGAAGAACTTAAGCCCGTTGCGGTTGAAGGGGAGGTGGCTGGCTGTAGGGTGAGGGTAGAGTACAGGGGAAGAGGAAGCAAATGAGAGCACGGGTATGTGAGGGAAGGGGAGGTGGGGATAGCAGTGATATCCACCGTGATGGTGCTGCCATTTGCTGTGAAGAACTTAAGCCCGTTGCGTTTGAAGGGGAGGTGGCTGGCTGTGGGTTGGGCGGGGAGGGAAAAGGAGACGAAAGTGGAGAGGGGTAGAAGGGGAGAGAGCAGGGAGACAGGGGAATGATGGGATGGCAGCGATATCCGCCTTGTTGGTGCCGCCCTTTGCTGTGAAGGATTTGAGCCTGGTTGAACGCAGGGTGGCTGGCTGAAGGTTAAGAGTGAAGTACAGCGGAAGAAAGGAAAAGACGGAACAGGATTTAGCAGGTCAATCCGCCTTGTTAATGCCATTCTAAAAAACTTGGGCCCATTGCGGTTGAAGAGGAGGTGGCTGGCTGTGAGTCCGAAAGAGGGATTTAAGGAGAACGAGAGGGACAAGGGAGTGCAAGGAAACGTGGGGTTGGAAGGTGGTGATATCCGCCAGCCTTTGGGGAAACGAGAAGAAATGAGAGGGAGAGTCCATAGTGCAGAGGGGAAAGGCAAATCAAGGAAGGTGGAATGCCCTATCCTGGATTGTATAGGCGCCTTAAAAAATCCCCTCTCAATCCTGTGGTGCCTATTATACCCATCTTGTTAACACCTACCTTTGGTGTGAAAAAAAAAAAACAAACAAAAGAAAGCCGCGCTCAAAGGCGCACCTGTGATCATGATGCCTCCATTCTGCCCTCATTCCACCCACATTCAACCCCCGCCAGAAGCACGCACCTGTGATCATGATGCCTCCATCGTTGGGGCAGTGCAGGCTGGCGTCTTCAGTGATTGTGCTGCTGAACATGGCTGGCGTGGGCCAGGCCGAAATGACCCACCTTCTGAAACAGTGCCTCTGCTTCATTCCCGTATTCCACCCACCCATGTACCATACCACTAGGACGCACACCTGTGATCATGATGCCTCCGTCGTTGGGGCAGTGCAGACTAGCATCCTCCGTGACCGTGCTGCTGAACATGGCTGGTGTGGACGCCAGGCCGAACCGAACCACCTTCACGCCCTCTCCTGCTAGCCCGCGCGCCACTGCTGCCTGCAAGGACGAACACAGAGGGTGATAGCACCCGATTTAACCCCTGGAAACCGAACCAAACCGAACCTAACCTAACGGCCTTCACGCCCTCGCCTGCTAGCCCGCGCGCCACTGCTGCCTGCAGGGACGAACACAGAGGGTGAGAGCACCCGATTTAACCCCTGGAAACCGAACCAAACCGAACCTAACCTAACGGCCTTCACGCCCTCGCCTGCTAGCCCGCGCGCCACTGCTGCCAGCAGGGACGAACACAGAGGGCAAGAGCACCCGTTTTACCCCCTGGAAATTGAACCGGACCGAACCAAACAACCTTCACGGCCTCGCCTGCTAGCCCATTCACTGGCAACTGCCCTCGCCGTGATCACATCAGCTGACACTCTCGAGTCATGTTGACTTTTGAGTCGACTCAAAGTAAACTGCTAACTTTTGAATCAACTCAAAAGTCAACTGCCCTCACCGTGATCACATCAGCCGACACTCTCGAGTCATGCCCGATGGACACGCTCATCTGCCCATTACCACTCTTCCCCTTCTCCCCCGTTTGTTGCGCCTTTCCAACTCCCGCGCATGCACGTTAATTGCTGATTCTGGCAACTGCCCTCACCGTGATCACTTTAACCAGCCAACACTCTCAAGCCATGCCCGATGGACACGCTCAGCTGTCCATCAGCCTTCTCGCTCGCAACCTCATTCTTCCCCCTCAAGAACCGAGCGAAGGCTGCGCCGATGGCCTCTGCTGCCAAAACCTACTCACACTCACAACTGCACACCCACCGTGATGACATCAGCGGACACTCGCGAGTCATGCCCGATTGACACGCTCAGCTGTCCATCAGCCTTCTCGCTCGCAACCTCATTCTTCCCCCTCAAGAACCGAGCGAAGGCTGCGCCGATGGCCTCTGCTGCCAAAACCTACTCACACTCACAACTGCACACCCACCGTGATGACATCAGCGGACACTCGCGAGTCATGCCCGATTGACACGCTCAGCTGTCCATCAGCCTGCTCCTTCTTCCCCCTCAACAACCGAGCGAAGGCCGCGCCAATGGCCTCTGCTGCCGGCTCCGTTAGTGTCACGGGCTCGCCCTCCACCCCCGGAATAGCCACTCCCCGTATGTCACTGCATACACAAGGCAGCGGGGCAGGATTGGTGAAATCTAATCTAAACCACTCATTTCTGACTGGCTTTAACGGTCCTGCATGTGCTCCACAGCGCAGGACTTTGTTCAGAGTTCGCTAAACTGAAGTTGGACTTATAAAATGTACATCCTTCCTCATTTATTTCAATATATTTTGCGACCTGAAAATTAGATCGTACCTTCCGTTTTGGAGCTTCTTGAAGTCGATCGCCTGGAAGAGGGTATGTTAGCTCTCCATCGCTGTTGCTAAATCTGTTTTAAGACGTCTGAAAACAAATTCATTATCTTAAGCGACAATCGTACCTTCCGTTTTGAAGCTTCTTGAAGTCGATCGCCTGGAAGAGGGTAGGTTGGCTCTCCACCGCTGTTGCTGCGGGACAGGGCCAGAGCGCGACAATGCCAGAACAACAGACACACGCACGCAAACCATACGGCACAGCAGATTCAGAATCATGCGATAGATTTTGCACACGGAACCAGCCACGCCAAGAAAAAGGAAACCGGGAAAGAGCAGAAGGGAAATAGCGAGAAGAGTGAGGAAGAGTGGATAAGGTTTCTGGGTGACGGACTGACCAAACGAAATCTGGGACGGATTGGCAGACGACGCTTCCACGACAATCAGCCGCCGGCTGCGATTCGTGCAGCTTGACAGCTGGAGCGGTGAGTGACTGTAACGAGAGGTGAGTGCTTGAACGGCATTTGCGGATAACGCGGGCTTCAAGCTCGGGAAAAGCCTCGCAGCTGGATTGCTGCTGCAGAGGCTGGAAGTCAGCATTGCTGCAGGACAAGTAGAAATCCGCAAAGACGGACGCGGGAGATTTGCACGCAACTCAAATTCAAATTTTCGACCGCAAACCCTCGTGCTCGTGCTTGCGACTTGCTGAACTAAATAGAGAGTGGAAAAATGTGTCTCACCAGCCATTTTTAAGGTATGCAGTGGAATATGCAGGCAGACTTGTGCACGAACAAGCAATGCGTCCGTCCGAACGATGCTCGTACGGAAGAAACGAAACGACAGCAGCAAGAAGGCACTGCTTTTACCCCAAAAGCGTCAAAGCGTAGTACTTGCTATGGCTACAAAAAGAACCGAACAGCAGAACTAGAAGCAGCAAAAGCAATTGCTGCAGCAGCAGGACAGATTCCCTGGGAGCCAAGCGGAGTTCCCAAGGCTGGATTCAAGTGGAAGGGTCAATGCGCTGAATTCCCGTTCCGTCCCGTCAGCGAAATATCCTGCCAGTTGGCCTTTGCCTGCGAGAAAGGTGGAGTGGGACCACCCACCAGCCACGACATGTATCTGTCTTCTGCCCCAGGTCTAGAAGGCCCACATGGCACAGAGGGATTCGCGGTCCAACGTTCGGCTGCAAAAATAAAGGGCTGCTGACGTGGAAAGCTGGTCGAAAAGAGTCAGCAAAGACGTTTGGTAACGGAGTCGGCAACCTTCGGGGCACGCGAAATCACCTTTTGCTGACGGCGGAAGCTCAGTTTTGCATGTTGCGACAGCCAAGGGCCATGCGAAAACAAAATTACACACAGATAATATATTCTGCGTAAGTATTTCTCCAATAACCATGACTAAATTACACCAACACCTTTCAAAAAAATTTCCAAGTCCGTACATGTTTTTGTTTTTGCTTATGTATTGATTAAGTGAGTTGAACGATTCATACCAAAAAAAATCTCGGTACAAACACACAGCACAAACACGTTTTGAGATTCTATACACCATTATAACCTAAGGTGGTTTGCAGAGTGATGTCCCTTTGTACAGTCGGCTGTTTGTGCATACATATCCGCTGTTATATTGTGCAAGCAGGCGTGATGACGACTTGAAGTATAGTGCTATTATGCGAGCACACGTATCGCCGGTGACAACGGTATAATACAACTTTGTAACGCATTTTGAAGCACCCAGTAGAACACTTGACTGGCCACCACGAGTACAGATCTGATGGGCGAAAGAAAATGAAGGAGAAGCAGAAAGCGAAGGAACCACACAAGGAAGGAGGATGAGAGAGGCAAAGGAAGGGGAGCGCAGCCATTGATCGCTCAAAAGACCACTCTAATGACATCATCAGGAAAACACAGAAGAAGGTTCACTCGTTCCACATCCACAAAAGCACCTGCTGACACCATAACACTTACCCTACTTGCTTTTGTACACAGCCACGTGCTGTTTCCTACACTACACCCACCTGCTGTCCCAGCAGAATCTTGTCCCCCACGTTGCAGTTGATGCCTGGATTCAGCGCATAGAACTCCTGGCTGGTCACTGTTTACTGCCTGCCCACTTGCTGATAACCGCTATCCACCTATCTGATGACAAGTTGTGTTCAGTGCACCCACCTGTTGGCCCAACAGACTCTGGTCCCCCACATTGCAGTTGATGCCCGGATTCAACGCATAGAACTCCTGGCTGGTCAGGGGCGGCCGTGCAGACCTCATTATACTGTCACATGTGTCTCCCTCCGCTACAGTCACATACTCCTGGCACACTGGCAGGTCAGCAGTGCCCCTCACCACACAGATCTGGCACAGAGAGTCAGAGGGACGGCAAAGGAGACGAGTAATGGTACTGAGAGGTTGGCTACAGTCACACAGTCCGTCCTGGCACACACACAGGCACGTCGGCTGTGCCCCTCACCACACACAACTGTGGCATGGAGTCACAGGTTGGACACAGAGAGCCTGGGGCGGGCATGCAATATGTTGGACGCATGTCAAATGAAAAGGCCGGGACGGGGGAGCAGAAAGCAGACAAGGAGCGACAGATAACACAAGCAAAAACAGAAATGTAAATGCCGTACCTGCTGCCCAATCTGCAGCGCCTTGTTGCATTTAAGCCCGTGGTTCCTCTCCTTCGGCTGCTCTGTGATCACGTTGAACGCTCAACTCAGCACCCCAGTTCACGTTGAACATAGAAACGAGTGCCGTACCTGCTGCGTTTGAGCCAGTAGCTTTGAAGCGACTTTTGAGGCGTCTCAAAAAGCAGAAATGTAAATGCCGTACCTGCTGTCCAATCTGCAGCGCCTTGTTGCATTTGAGCTCGTGGTTCCTCTCCTTCAGCTGATCCGTGGTGACATTGAACGCTGCTGCTATGGACGCACACGTGTCGCTCTGCCGTAAGGTGGGGGCAATGGAGGATAAGGAAGGTGCGGACGAGTGGAATGCGGTACAGGGCGACATATGAGTCGGATTGATTGCGCTCCTTCAGTTGCCCCAGTGTGACGTTGAACGCTGCTGGTATGTAGCGTTCCAGTCCTGTTGTATACATGTGCATCAGTGTATGGATGCACATGTATCACCCTGTTGTAGGTGGAGTGAGGAAGGGTGGAGGGGGGGGGAGAGGATGCAGAAGTTTGGGGGGTGGGACACCGCACAACAGAAATCGTGCGAAATACGTAGCAGGAAAAAGCAAAAGAGAAGGGAGAGGAGGACAGAGGGGGATGGGAGAGGGGGGGGTCGTAAGGGGGTTTGCACTAGAGGGTGGAGAGGGGGGGGGGATTTTCAGGAAAAGAGAAGCTTACAGATGATGTGACTGTATAGGCCGTGGCACACGGGTTGGTGTCGCCGATGTGAATTTCATCGTCTGGCCGCAGCTTGTTGCAGTTCAGATTCTGTTTCAAGAGGGAATGAGGGAGTAGGGAGAGAGGAGTTGAAGAACAGAGTAACAAGGCACATGGGCTGGGAACACATGGGTTGAAGAACACAGTAGCAAGAACAGAGTAGCGCGTGGGCTGGTTGCTACCTCCGATGGTTGCACTTCCATTTCTGTTCCAAAGGGGAATAGGTGGAAGGAAAGGGGGGGGGGGGAGTGGAGAAGACAGGAGAGGAGGCAGGGGCTCATGGGTTGGTTTCGGTTCCACCGCTGTGGATTTTTGTCTTCCAGGTCCAACCAGTTGCAGTTCCATTTCTGTTCCAAAGGGGAATGAGAAGGGGGAATGAGAAGGGGGAATGAGAAGGGGGAATGAGAAGGGGGAATGAGAAGGGGGAATGAGAAGGGGGAATGAGAAGGGGGAATGAGAAGGGGGAATGAGAAGGGGGAATGAGAAGGGGGAATGAGAAGGGGGAATGAGAAGGGGGAATGAGAAGGGGGAATGAGAAGGGGGAATGAGAAGGGGGAATGAGAAGGGGGAATGAGAAGGGGGAAAGAGAAGGGGGAAAGAGAAGCATTGGCACATGGGTTGGTGCCACCAGTGTGGATTTCGCTTTCCTGCTGGAGCTTTTTGCAGTTCAATCTCTGTTCCGAGATCAAGTGTCAAAACAGTGTAGCGCGTGGCATTTGAGTCGACTCACTTTTCAGTCGACTCAAAAGTCTCCTTAGAATGTTGAAGGGTGTCAAAACAGTGTAGCGCGTGGCACATGGCCGGGGGTGCTTTTGAGTCCACTCAGGATGGGAAGGAGAGAAGCAGACGCATCAGGATGGTGATTTTGAGACAGGAAGGTGAAGAGCGGTCTTACCGGGTTGAGCTGGGTGAAGCTGGTGAGGTTGATGCCGTAGGTAGACATGACAATGTCGCATGTGAGCCCTGTAACCACATGAATTTCACCGGGAGTGGGGCCTGCAGTGACAGAGGCATGGGGAGAATGGGAGGATAGGGGGGAGAGGAGGGGGTTGAGAAAAATGGGGAACATGACGATGTCGCATGTGAGCCTGGGAACCACATGGATTTCACCAGGCGTGGGGCCTGGAATAGGAGAGGCATGGGGAGCATGGGAGGAGGGGAAGTAAAGGGGTGGAAGAGAAGGGCAGGGTGATGCCATAGGTAGACATGACAATGTCGCATGTGAGCCTGGGAACCACATGGATTTCACCGGGCGTGGGGCCTGGAATAGGAGAGGCATGGGGAGCATGGGAGGAGGGGAAGTAAAGGGGTGGAAGAGAAGGGCAGGGTGATGCCATAGGTAGACATGACAATGTCGCATGTGAGCCTGGGAACCACATGGATTTCACCGGGCGTGGGGCCTGGAATAGGAGAGGGGAAGGAAAAAGGGAGTGGGGGAGGAGAGCGGGCGCGTTGATCCCATGGGTACACCACACTGTACACATGACGTGACAATGTCGCATGTGAGCCTGGAAACCACATGGATTTCACCAGGCGTGGGCCCTGCAGGAGGAAGAGGAGAGGGATGGGGGAGGGGAGGAATGAGGGCTGATGCCAAAGGACAGGACCGTAGGTAGACATGACCAGGTCGCATGTAACCACTTTGAATTCACCCGGCGCGGGGCCTGTTGGGGTAGAGGAGAAGGGATGGGGAGGGGAAAAAGGGCGTGGTGATGCCATGAGTCGACATGACCAGGTCGCATATAAACCGTGTAACCACTTTGAAATCTGAATTCACCGGGCATGGGTGGGGCCTGCAGTGGTAGAGGCATGGGGAGCATGGGAGAGGCATGAGGAGGAATGGCAGAGGCAGGGCTGCAGGACCACAGCCACTATGGCTACCATGGTGTTAGGTAGGCAACATGGTGAAGGGGACTTGGAAGGTAGGCAACCCACCAAGGATGCAAGAGGGCGTGCTGTCAGGCCGTGTATCAAAGAAGAAACCCGGCGGGCAGATGCAGGTGCCTCAGCACCAGGAGCGATAGGATACTCAGAAAGGCGGTCTCGAAAAGGGGACTCACCAAGGATGCAGGAGGGCGTGTTGTCGGGCCGGGTATCAAAGAAAAAGCCTGGCGGGCAGATGCAGTTGTAGCCCCCCTTGCCATCGTCCAGACACGTGCCCACCTGACAGGGGTTCACTGCGTTCAGAGAGCAGGGCTTTACTGGTGGGAGGGGGAAGCGAGAAGAAGGGAGGGAGGGACAAGGGAAAGGGAGGGGAATGATGACGGGAAGGGAGGGAGGCAAATGCAGCTGTAGCCCCCCCTGCCATCGTCCAGACACGTGCCCCACCTGGCAGGGGTTGACCGCGTCCAGCGAGCATGGCTTCACCCAGGGAGTCGACTTTTGAGTCGACTCAAAAGTCTCCACCCAGGGAGTCCTGGGTTGGTTGGTTGGAGAGTATGTGATGCGATGCCCCACTACTCCTCTCCACCCCTCCACACCCCCCACCACCCACACACACCCCCACCCCCTCCCCAACCACCCACCCACCCACCCACTTACTCATTCACGCACCCACCCAGCAATAAATACACGGGATACAAGCAGGCGACTGGTCAATATTCCTCCCAACGACAAAGTTCGACCTGCACTTGCACGTGTACCCCTCTAGACTCCTCACCACACTGCACATGCCACCCAGCCACCCTCCTCCCCATTCCCACACCCACCCATCCACCCAGCCCCCCAACACATACGCGGGATGCAAGCAGGCGAGTTGTCGATGTTCCTCCCAACAACGAAATTCGTCTTGCACTTGCACGTGTATCCTCCAGGGTTCCTGGTTGCACTGCACGTGCCGCCCCCACAGGGGTTCGGCACACACGGGTTGGGGCCTCGGACCACGGGGTAGAGGGCAGGAGAGGTGTTGATACCGCAGATGCCATCACCTGTAGATGTTTGAGAGGATGGGAAGGGAAACGGGACGGGATGCATAGGGATCTCTATGTGTGCTCATAAGGGGTTCGGACATGGGTTGGTTGGTTGGGACCTTGCACAACAGGGTAGAGAGCAGGAGACGTGTTGCAAGATAGATTAGCGAGAGGCAAGGCAACCTGTAAAGGGCCTGAGGACTCACCTGATGCAATGGCCATCTGCATGAAGCCGCCCACGCCCCAGGTGGCTCCCCAGGTGTTTTGCAGGAGGAAGTAGGGAGTGGCACCTGCCATGCTGTAGCCCACGAGCAGCACTATGTGATTCACCACCCCGTTGATAAAGCAATCCGGATCTGCATAGGTGTAGCCCTGGAAAACCCAAGGGAAAAAGGGGAAGAGAGGTGCACAATCAGTAGGGAGTGGCACCGAATATGCTGTACCCCACGAGCAGCACTATGTGATTCACTAACCCGTTGATGAACCAATCCGGATCCGCATAGGTGTAGCCCTGGAGGGAGCGGGGTTGTGGGGTGGGAGGGCAGAGGAGGGACAGGTAAAACATTCAGTCTGGTGTGTATCCTGCCATGCTGTAGCCTACGAGCAGCACTATGTGATTCATCACCCCGTTAATAAAACAGTCAGGGTCAGCATAGGTGTAGCCCTGGATTATGGAGGGGAGGGACAGGGGGGAAGAGGCGGAGAAGAGTAAGGGCGCGTGTGGTCTTACAAATTAGTGAAATCTTATGTTTTTAGGTCGAATGTAGAATTTGATCTTAGGGAGAACAAAACTCGACTTTCCTTGCAGCAAAGTTCGAATCTTGGGTCTCCAACACAGACGAGTCACAATCACACACCCAAGGTCGAACACAGATATTCGACCTTTTAGGGAAGGCGGCGCCCCGTCAACGTACTGCGCAACGAAACTCCTTCCCAACGTCAACGTACTGCGCAACGAAACTCCTTGCACAGACCTTCCCAACTGAGACCTTCCCAACTGCTTACGAAGACGGCGCCCCGTCAACGTACGAAGACCTTCCCAAAGCAGTCGTGATTTTCGAATGGTCTTCGTACGTGCCGAAAACAACACACACACACACACACACACACACACACACACACACACACACACACACACACACACACACACACACACACACACACTCGACGTGTACCCGCTCGTTCACCCGTGTGTTTCGAGTTGAGTTCACATTTAACATTCGCACTTATGTGCCCCCAAAATTCTCATGCATTCCTTAAAGCTTCTTGACGACATTGGCAAAGTGGGTAACCACTCAAAGTTCGACCTTTTTTCCGAACTTGAGGAAAGATCACACTCGCCCTAACTGAGGGGAGGGCAGGTGCACATGCAGTGGAGCGTGGCACCTGCCATGCTGTACCCCACGAGCAGCACTATGTGATTCACCACCCCATTGAAAAACAATCCAAATCAGCATAGGTGTAGCCCTGGCGAACGGCGGGTGGGTGGGATGAGTGCAGAAGGAGGAAGATGCAACACATTCAATAGGGTGGGAAGGAGCAGACCCAAGACCCAACCTGCCATTGCCATGCACCTACCAACCTGCCATTGCCATGCACCTACCAACCTGCCATTGCCATGCACCTACCAACCTGGCATTTTGTGCTCTCCACCACAAAAGCTCTTCAAGACACTCACACAAACACCCTCCTCCCTGATCCAACTCACCCCCGCGCATTCAATGAAGGACGTCTGGTCCGCCTCTATGTTTGCATTGATTGGCTACGCCTGCAGCGCTATCACCATGCCCAGCCAACCAGACAAACCATCCAAACCAACCCGCACATTCCAACACACCTCACCACACCACACAACCTTTTCCAACTCACCCCAGCGTATTCAATGAACGCCGCCTGGTCTGCCTCTATATTCGCAATGATTGGCTGCGCCTGCAGCGCTATCACCATGCCCCGCCAACCAGCCACCCTTTTCCAACTCGCACCCTCCAACACAGCTGCACACACCTCTCCTCACCCCCAACTCACCCCCGCGTATTCAATGAAAGACGTCTGGTCCGCCTCTATGTTCGCGATGATTGGCTGTGCCTGCAGCGCTATCACCATGCCCAGCCAACCAGACACCGCCACTTGTTCAAACATGGCGATCTTGTACGGCCCGGGGACCGGCTGGGCAGAGGGGGCAGGGGGGGGCTTTTTCTTAGCCGGCTTCTTGAGTAGGCCTATAGACGATGAGCGAGAGGAGGAAAAGAAGGAGCGAGAGGAGGAGGACGAGGAGGAGGATGAGGTGGGAAGTGGGGAAGAGGGTGAGGAAGAGGAGGAGGAAAATGGTGATGATTGGAGGATGCGGGGGCGAGGAAACTGGAAGAAGGAGGAGAGGAGGGAGGTGAAGCGGGAGGAGAAGAGGGAGGATGGAGGAAGAGGAGGTAGTGAAGGAGGGTGGAGCAGTGACGGTTCAAATGCTGGCTGGGAAATTCGTCTGCTTGGTTTTGCTGGGAGCCGGTTGGGAGCAATGGACGCAGGTGAAGGGGGAGGAGGAGGGGGAGGAGGAGGGCGACGGGAGGAAGGAAGAGCAGCAGGGGGAGAGGGAGGAGCAGGAGCTATGTGGGAGTGTTGTTGCAGATGCTGGTGCTGTTGGTGCTGTGATTGTTGTAGCGAGGAGTCTTGTATCGAGGCATGAAGGTGGTCCTCTAGTGCTCGATCAAACCAGAGGTCTGGAGGGAAGGATGCTTCCAATCTCCTCCTCAGGGGGGGCTGCGGGAAGGAAAGGGAGGAATCGGAAGGAATCAGAACCACACACAGCAGAGAAGGAGGGGGTGGAATGGGAGAGGCATGGAGGTGAGAGGCATGGAGGGAGAGAGGCGGGAGAGGAGAGGCATAAAGGTGGTCGCTGCCCACTCTAGCACCCAATGCTGAAGCTGAAACCCCTCAGCTGACCCCACTCACCGGACAGCTGGATGCATCTTTGGTGCCCGTGTACGGGACTATAAACTCCGGCAGCACTCCCCCCGAGGCAACTTCTACCCTCACACTCTGCTGCACCGCACTCAACCGCATTCCACTCACCGGACAGCTGGATGCATCTTTGGTGCCCGTGTACGGCACGATAAACTCCGGCAGCACTCCCCCCGAGGCAGCGAACTGGAACGCGTCAGAGGGGAGGCCGCCCAAGCACTCCCAGGTGCCCTGGCAGTTGAGAATGTGCTGCCCCGATATGTTGGGCTGGTTCGACCCGAACGCGATGGCATACGCTGACTCGATTGCCGCTACCGGGACTAGAGCCCAACACGCAGCTGCGGGTGGGTGGAGTGGGGTGGAGAGGGGTCAAGATGTTGGGCTGGTTTGACCCAAACGCGATGGCATAGGCTGACTCGATTGCTGCTACGGGTACTAGCGCCCAACACGCAGCTGAAGGAAAGGGGGGAAGCGGTGTGGGACATGGGAGAGAGAGGGGGAGAGAAGGTAGGATGGGAGGGATGGGATGGGAGGAGGAAGAGAGGAAGGGACACCCCACGCACTTGATTTGACCTACAACGATCCTTTCTGCCTCTCTCCATTTCTCCCACTCCCCACTCATCACTCACGACTCCCCACTCCCCACCACCCACCCCCCACCCCCCACCACCCACACTCACCACACGTGCCCTGATCGACGGTGGGCCCCACAACAGTCCTGTTCTACTTGCTGACGACCTGAGTGCGCCAGTCCACCGCACTCTTGTACGTCCATGAGGGTCGCTACCATCTAGGCTAGGCTGCTTCAAGCACACTCACTCACCACACGTGCCCTGGTCGACTGTAGGTCCCACGACGGTTCTATTCTGCTTGCTGACGACCTGAGTGCGCCAGTCCACTGCAGTCTTGTACGTCCATGAGGGCTTGGTGGCTGTGCCGTTGTAGCCCAGGCTCACGTAGCGGAAGTACTTGTTGAAATTCACGAGAGGCTGGGGAGAGGGGTGGGGACATGGAGAGAGGAAAGGGAGATAGGGGAAGAGGAGAGCTTTGTGGCCGTTCCGTTGTGCCCCAGGCGCACGTAGCGAAATCACTTGTTGAAATTCACGAGAGGCTGGACGAGGGGAGCAGAACAGCAGTGGCAGGGAGTGGGAGGGGGCTATGGGTCAATCCATCTGTGCTGTGCCATTGTAGCCCAGGCTCACATAGCGGAAGTACTTGTTGAAATTCACGAGAGGCTGGCGGGAGGGGTGGGGACACGGAGAGAGGAAAGGGAGATAGGGGAAGAGGAGAGCTTTGTGGCCGTGCCATTGTGCCCCAGGCGCACGTAGCGAAATCACTTGTTGAAATTGGTGAGCGGTGGGAGGGAGAGGTGCGGGAGAGAGGGGGGAGGATGGGTGAACGGGGAAAGAGATAGCCCGGTGGTTGTGCCTTTGCACGCTAGGGAGAGGGAAAGGGATAGCTGATGATTCAATATGACACGATATGACATGGCATGATATGATATGAGATAAAATATGGATATGATAATAACAAACTGCCTTACACATCTATGCTCACCTTGGTTGGGACAGCTTGGTAGTCCGTATCCTTGAGGCCTGGCTTGCGCTTGTCAGGGTCTGCTTATAAAGGGGATGGGCGGAGGAGGGAGCGAGGAAGGGAATGTGTGGTGATGACATATTGTTTGCTTTCAAACGTTCTGGTGGGGGCAGAGCAGAAGGGGCGCCGTAGAATGGTTTAAACACTAAACACTCGGACTGCAAGAGCGGTACATGATCCCATTCTGTACCACAGCGTACGCGACACGTTATAGATGGTTTTTAAATCGACTCAGAATTACCTTCTGGTGGGGGCGGAGGCGGCGACGGCGGTGGGTTAGCCACAACACTCGAGCTGCAGGAGGGGTACGGGATGCCATTCTGCATCGCAATGTATGGGTTGTAGTCCTTTTCACATTCGCACGTCGGGATGCGCGAGGGTCCGGACAAGTAACACCGCCCGTGCCCGCCGCACGGGCCCATCGCAGTGCTCGCGCCACAAAACGCCAAACACTCGTTCGGCTTGCGTTGCTTGTCCGCCGTGCACGCCCCGCTCCCGGAAGTTACCATGCAGTTTCCTCTCACGGACCCGTACAAAGACGGGCTGTACGGCAGAAGAGCTGATTGGGCAAACCCCCTCGGAGCTGATTCGGGCAGAATGAAATGTTTCCGTTGTCCGCCGTGATCTGGCCTTTGGCCGAGCCGTTGAAATAGTTTCTCTCGATGTTGTATGTGGCCTCGGAGGTGGACTGAAAGGAGGTGCTGGCGAATCCCGTGGGTGCAGGGCCTGAGAACTCGTTATTGGATATGTCACTGTGTGATGTGATGAAGACAGGAAGGAGAACAAAAAAAGAAAGGGAGACGGGATGGGAGTAGGGGAGGGGGAGGGGGCGGGAGGAGAGGGGGGGCAGAGAGGGATGTTGTAAGTCATGTGGGCGCAGGTAGACATGCTTTTGAGCCGGTGGTTGGTTGGTTGGATGCAAGCGGCCTCGGAGGTGGACTGAAAGGAGGTGCTGGCGAATCCGGTGGGTGCGGGTCCTGAGAACTCGTTATTGGATATGTCACTGTGTGATGTGATGCAGACAGGCAGGACAGCGGAAAAGGGAGTAGAGGGAGAAAAGGGAAAGAAGGAAAACGTCAGAAAAGGGAGGTGCATGAGGTAAGGAAGTGCAACAGCCTCTGCCAATATGTTGCCCTGCCAGACAGCCACTGATCACCTCATGTGTTTTGAGTCGACTCAAAAGGTGCATGATGTTAGGAAGTGCAACAACCTCTGCCCTTGTGCTGCCAGTCAGCCACTGATTTCCTCACCAAATCGCTACTGTCACATGTCCTCTGCTCGCCCCACCAACTCGTTTTTGTCACATGGTCCATACTCACAAGTACATGAGGTTGGGGAGAGCAATGACCTCTTTGGGTATGCTGCCAGACAGACGGTTCTTGCTCAGATCGCTGGGGAAGGGGAGAGGGAGGGTGGAATCAAGAGAGTGGGAGAGGGGAGATGCAGGGGGTTATGAGTAGCGAAGGCCTTCTTGTTGGGGAGACCGATGACCTCTTTGGGTATGCTGCCAAACAGACGGTTCTTGCTCAGATCGCTGGGGAAGAAGGAAGAGGGAAATCGGGAGAGTGGCAGGTGGTAGGGGAGGGATGGGTGGGGAGCGAGGTAAGAATCGCTCAGTACTGACGTTTCGTCTCATGAACCGCTCAGTACTGTCACACTGATATGCTTCCAAATTTACTCATGAGCACCTCGTTACTGTCACACCAATATGTTTCTCACTTTTGGTCAGCTCGCTACAGTCACACGCACATAGCCTTGCCGCTCACTACTGTCACACGCACAGGGCTTCAAGGTCGGTGAGAGCACCGAGTTCCGACGGCACTTGGCCCGATATGCGGTTGTCACTGAGGAGCCTGCAGGAGTGGGAGGGAGGGATAGGCAGTAAGGTTAGGGAGAAGGAAGTGGGGCGAGAGGACAGGATGAGATTGCTGAGGTGGCAGACTGGAGGGCGGTGCGGTGAGAGCACCGAGTTCCGACGGCACTTGCCCCGACAGGCGATTGTCACTGAGGAGCCTGCAGGAGTGGGAAGAAAAGGCAGTACGGGTAGGGGATGGTGACTGCACTGCTGAGATGTGTGAGGAAGGTGACTGCACTGCTGAGATGTGTGAGGAAGGTGACTGCACTGCTGAGATGTGTGAGGAAGGTGACTGCACTGCTGAGATGTGTGAGGAAGGTGACTGACTGCTGCTGAGATGTAAAGACTCCTCTATGAGGAGGCTCTCACACAGGCAGCAAACCGAGAAGAGCAACTCACAGGAATCGAAGCTTCTGCAGCAGTGAGAAGCCGGTAGGGATAGATCCTGTGATGTCGTTGCGACCCAGAGTCCTGCCCACAGGATATGGAGAAACAGACATACACACAGTCAAGCCTTCAACAGTCCAAAAGGCTTGGCTTGCAACTGTGAAGCTTTCAACTGTATTGCACATTGAGGGCAACCGTGAAGCTTGTGAAGCTTCACAGTAGGGGTTTTTCAACTGTCTGTGCACAATTGAGAGACTCCTACTGTAGTAATTCCAGCTCCGAGTGCTGCAAAGACCAGGAAAAACACGAAGGACTTGACTCCCAGTGTGCCTGAGAATAGCACAAACACTGAAGGACTTAACGCTCGGTGCAGGGGAGTGTGGAGATGTAATGTAAGACAATACTGATGGACTGAACTGGGAGCGTTAAGTGCACAAGATGCAAAGTGTAGCGGGGATCAAGACGCACAGTATCTGTAAAGCAGTCAGAGTGTTGAACTTGGCTGGGAAATCATCCTCGATTGAATTGTCGTGTAGCTTGCTGCGGGAACAGCAGGGACGGGAGGGATGTGGAGCAAAACGGGGAGATGAGGGCGAGAAGCGCAAGGACAAGACTCGACTGGCAGATCGTTGAGTGCGTTGTTGTGTGACTTGCTGAGGAGAGAGAGGAGGAAAGATGGGAGAGGGGGGAGGGGGGTTGGAAAAAAGGCTACAAATAAAAACAAACGCAACGAACTAACTAACAAACACGAAACACGAACCAACCACTCAAAGTACACAGATCTAGAAAATGAAGAAGAAGCGAGCCGTCAAAAAAGAAAGGCGTCATTACAGTTCTTGCAGCGTAAGCAGCGAAGCAATGGCATCCGTGGGGATTGTTCCTTCCAAATCGTTATCGCTGAGATCACTGCAGGGGGTATGAGTCGGGGAAGAGGGGGGAGTAAGGGGGGAAAGGGGGGGGGATGGGGGGGGGGGAGAGGGGGGATGGGGGTTGGGGGGGGGGGGAGAAGAGAGGGAGAGGTGGAGGACGGAGGAGAGGGAGGGGGGTGGAAGGAGGGGAGGAGAGGGGGTGAGAGAGGGGGACAAGGAAACTGGCATGGTATGAATGAAGCGAGTGGAGAACGCGAATGAGGAAAGGAGGTGAGAGCCACGCTCGAGACAGTCCGTGCTTGAGACGTTAATCCTAACCGTGCTCATTTGGTCACCTCTACCCTAATCTGTTTTTTTAGAATTCTAAAAAAAAACGGATTCGCCTCTACCGTAATCCCTCTCGCAGCGTCACATAGCCGCTGTTGTCATGTCACACACCACTCCCAACCACGAATCACTGATCTGGCCAGACTCTTTCTTTAGGCGCCAAGACGATTTTTGAGGCGCCTAAAAAATCACATAGCCGCTGTTGTCATGTCACACACCACTCCCAACCACGAATCACAGATCTGGTCAGGCTCTTTAATTAGGCGCCAAGAAAATCGACTCACAGCTGCGACATGTAGTCGTCGCAAACCACTCACAGCCACTCCCACTCACCCGCGGTTCTAATCCTGCTCAATCGGTCACCCTACCCCAATCCCGTGCGACTCATAGCTCCGTCACGTAACTGTTGTCATCGCACACCACTCACAGCCACTCCCACTCACCGGTGGTTCTAATCCTGCTCAATCAGTCACCCGTGCGACTCACAGCTGCGTCACACAGCCGTTGGGTCGTCGCACACCACTCCCAGCCACAGGCTACACATCTCACCGTTCCCTCGCCCTCCTTTCCCGTGCGACTCACATCTCCCCGTGTGACTCACATCTGCCCGTGTGACTCACATCTCCCCGTGTGACTCACATCTGCCCGTGTGACTCACATCTCCCCGTGTGACTCACATCTGCGTCACATAGCCGCTGTCGTCGCACACCACTCCCAGCCACGTGTCACAGACCTCCCCAGCGACCCACGATGTGGTGGCAGTCGGCCACCTGGTAGCTATCGTTGCCATGGCGTCCGCTGCAGTAAGGGGGAGAGGGTGAGGAGAGCGTGTCAGCCACGTGTCACAGACTTCCCCAGCGACCCATGAGGCTGTGGGGGTCGGCCACCTGGTAGCTATCGTTGCCATTGCGTCCGCTGCGGGAGAAGTTGGGCGGAAGGGAGAAAGGAGAAACGGGGAATGGGAGAAGGCCCACGATGGGAGGCGGTGGGCCACGTGGTCGCTATCGTTCCCATTGCGTCCGCTGTAGTAAGGGGGAGAGGGTGAGACGGGGAAGGCGGGGAAGAGGGGGCAGGAGAGCGTGTCAGCCACGTGCCACAGATCTCCCCGGACACCCATGAAGCGGTGGCGGTGGGCCACGTGGTCGCTATCGTTGCCATGGCGTCCGCTGTGAGCGAAGTTCGGGGGAGAAGGCCGAGGGGAGGAGGGAGAGAGGGAGAGGAGAAGGGAAAAAGATGGGGAGGAGAGGGGGAAGGAAGGGGAAGGAGGGGTGGGGGGGGAGAAGGGGGTGGGGAAAAGCAGAAGGAAGGGGGGAAAACGGGGGGTAGCATTTTGCGACGGCTGCGATGGCTGCGACGGCAGCCTGCTCATGGGCGAAAGTTGTTACAGTGGCTTTCGAACATTCGCGAATTCGAAATTTCGCAAAGAGAACAGCCTTGCCGCAACGCCGTCCATCACACCGCCACAAAAGGGTCGGTATTGTCCAATCTTCCTGCCACTCCGTCGCGAGTCGGTATTGCCCAGACGTTTGAGACGCCCAGACTTTTGAGACGCCCAGACTTTTGAGACGGCCAGACGTTTGAGACGTCTCAAAAGTCGTCACAAAAAGGGTCAGTATTGTCCAATCTTCTTGTCACTCCGTCGCGAGTCGCGACCCAGACTCCGTTTGAACCGAAAGCCATCGGGACTACTGATCCAGACGCACTCGGCGTATCTCGAGTCGCGCGCGACTCAGGAAACAAGGAATCGTCTCTGCTAGTTACTTTGCGACGAAAGCACGGCGACGCCATCAGGACCGACCTGACTAATAACAAGTTCACTGCATACGAGGCCTCAAGAACCGACCTAACTAATAACACGTTCACTGGAATCGGGGATCAAGTCGCGAATCTGAACTCGATCCAGCCAAACTTACTCTGCGATGAATGCACGGGGACGCCGGCTGATGATACGACGGGTAACTGCGTCGCCCGCCAGCACGCAACCATCGCCAGCACTGCGACCATCGTTAACTGTTGCCCGTTCAACCGACCGCTTAGCCGTCTAGATAGCCGTGCGTCTAGCCATCCTTCAAACCGTCCGTCTGTTTTCACTCTCGTTATCCTCTTTCCGCCCGACATACTCCCTCGCTCTGCCGTCATCCTCCCACCCCAGGTAAAAGTGCCTCGAATCGCGACAAACCCTAGCCTAGTAGACACACCGAGACAACTGCAGTGTTACAGATCAGAAGCTGTGTTAGAAACGCTAAACGCGAGTTATGAAACTGCGTCCAGTAAAGCTAAAAGTTAGAACGGCTCCTCAAAACTGGCAGCAACGGGAAAACTGGCTCTTTACGGATTGAAACACCGATTGAAGTATTGTCGCGCTATCGACCCGTGGTTGGACAGGTTTGAACGAGCTAGTGTGCACGAGAAGTGCCAACATCACTTTGCTAAGCTACTAAATCAGGCAAATGCCGCGGGAGACTTGGCTTTCCGCAAAGGCTATTTTTCTGGCTATCACTGGGGGGAAGAGACGCGGCTCTTTCGAGGCGCCCGACGCCTACGAAGCGTGGTTGAATGGTTGAGTGGTTGAATGGTTGAATGGTTGAGTTGAGACACCAGCGCGACAGTCTCAAGTGTTTCTCAGGAAAATTGCAGCGGTGACTAACCTACTAACAGTATTGTACTACTGTATGACAGCTTACACACACGTATTCGCATTCGCAGCTCATTCGGTGCGCCAAAACGCGACAAGCCTTCACAGCCGCCACCGCCGATGACAAATCTACCATAGCTTCTAGCGTAAGCTTTGCAATCTCACAACCCAACTAGTTCCAAACAGAAGCCTGCTTTGAAAATCTGTGACTCTCCACATCCCCTGCCCCTCATGAACTTCTTTCCAAGTTGGGATTGTGAGGCAGATAGATCGTGGCAAGCAGGAGGAAAGAAGGCTACAGTATTGTGAAAGGAATTTGTGAGCGCTTGAAAAGGGTGGAGTAAGAGATCAGGTCTGTTTCCCCGATGGCAGCATTTTGTAACCCTGTTTATTTGTTCAGTTGAGGTGGTTGAGCACGATATGGTGCAATTTGGAGCGGTTAATTTGCTTCACCGAGTTTGTCTCGCCGGGCCTTACGTGTCGGCAGCACTGTCGCTTCTGCTGCGGTCCCGCGGGACCTGCGAAATGAAACTGGTGTCAGGGGCAGGGTTGTCTGGGGGAGAGTGCAACGGCAGTCAGAGCGCGGGAATCGGGATGAGGCGGAGAGGGGTAGGTGAAGGCTGCCTTTGGGAACCGTTCTGTTCCTTGTCGGCAGAATCTGCAAGGTGCGTTTTTCAGTCCTTCAGCACCCATGGCAATGGAACATTTTCTGAAAACACTGGATATGGAAGGAGGGCTCGGAGTTTACTACTTTGCGGATACCCTCCATAGCTGAAACAGCAACCGAGCCTGGCTGCTCGCATCTCACACAAGATGCGCACTTTCAGCCTTTCATAACATTCACAAGAGGATCGCCTGATTCCTTTCTGAATATCGCTGCCAAGAAACAATGAGGAAGGTGCCACCTTGCATGTACTGTAATGGCGAAGTCCAATTTTGGGCAGCCCCAACGATTACACGATTTGTCCGGAACGGGGCCTTCCACGACAACGGCTGCTTCTGGGTGCGGAACCTGGCATTCTCTCAAATCAACGCGATGAACACTGCAACTGGTACAGTAGTTGTATCATGTGACGTGTCATGTCACCACAACACTGCGACCAGCATTTCGTTTTGGAACTTTCTGTTCCGACGGCCTTTCCCCCCAACCAACTTCGCGTTCACAGTGTGGTGGCCACGCGTTTCCCTAAACGCTGATTGGGTTTCTCGCATGTCGGTGCCAGCACAGCATGGTTCTACGGCTGCCGTCGCTCATGGGGTCGGGTGGTCTCTCTCACCAATTCCAAATACACTTCACTTCTTGTTTGTTGTTATGAGCGCAATTGAAGAAGAAAGACATAAGCTAAACATTCATAGCGAAAGATGTAACGTTAATGCGATGTTGCGAGCTAGCCTATATGGAAGAAACTTTCGTACAGGCCTCTCGTTATCAGGGTAAAATACCCTTTTTGCACTGACTGGCGGCCGCTTTTTTTTCAGTTAACCTTTCACAGGCAGGCTAACTGATTTTTTACCCTAGGCCAGAAAGTGTAAGTTTTTTTGTACCCTTTGAAAAACAGCGTAAGGAAATTATTTCCCCGACTGTACACTGTACAATCTTAGTTATGCTGCTACCGAATGCTCCTTAGCGAGACAAAACTCTTTACGGGCCCCTGCAAAATACTTCCGTCAGCGAGATTCGAACCTTCGATCTCTCCCATCTTACCTGCTATCGATCTAAGGGGGTCTTACATTGCGCGCTGGTCCATTTACAAGGAAATGGACCAGCGAATGCAAGGAGGCACCATTTTAGAGGGACCACTTCCAAAAGTGGTCCCGCGTGATACCGGGGACCATTTGCGGGGGACCAGCTTTGCACAGTGCATTGCAGCTTCGAAAACGAAGTGTTGACGAAAATAAAAGTGTACCTGGTCACGCTTAAACAAGATGTCGCACACAGCAGATACTTTTGACGAAACAATCAAAACACAGTTTTCGCATGCGACTCCCATCGCCTTGGGTTGCTCTGGAAATGGTCCTGCGTGTCGAACGTCGTTTTCGTACGTGCGCCTCGCACTGTACATGCTGGTCCGTGGGCGGGTGCAAGTCGGGTCCACGCCTGAGCCGTTCGCTGGTCCATGCTGGTCCGCGCAAATGCCCCTGGGCCGCAGCGGCCCAGCATGGCCCAGCGTAGTTCTTGCGCACATGTAACGCCCCCTAACTGAGCCACCAAGTACAAACATGTATGCTTTTGTATTCATAATGTCATCAAAATTAAAAGGCCAAACAGACTTTTTTTTTTTTTTTACTCTGCCTTTGTCAGGGAAACAAAAATTTTACCCTACGCATCAAGGTTGACTATACCTAGTGCTGCGATCAGAAATTGATCGTAGCCCAGGATCTACCCAGGAAGGTTCGCACGCAGTGAGATAGTTTGGTGGGCCCTTGACCTCAATAGCAGAGTGAATGTAAAATGCTTGAGATGATTAAAACATGCAAGTACAAGAAATATAAATATGAGTACAGGGAAGACGAAGCGACCTAGCTAGCCATGTACTCTAAGGGGTACATTCCCTTATTCAAATGCATCCCGACCGTGCGGCGCGTACAGTTTCGTAACTGTTCCCGCCAAAACCATCCTGCCAGTAGTTGCCCGATGCCGTCTGCTCCCGACGGTCCAGATGTGCTGTAACCGTCCGACGCTTCAATTCAGTTCCAACCGTCTGACGCTTCGCGTTCGTTCTCGATACTGCGTGCTTCTCTTTGCTGCGGTGAGGAGTGCACAGTAATATTAAATGTTACTATTCGTAACACCCCCCTTCACTCCTGGCCGTAGCTCGATTTGACCTGCTTGACCACGCCACTGAGTTCGGAGCAGTGCTGATACTGCTGACGTGGTAGTCGTTTCGTGAGGAAGTCCGCTGCCATGTCACATGTTGGGCAATAGGTCAAGTTAACCTTGCCCTTGTCCACCTCGTCCTTCACAAAGAAGTACCGCAGCGCGATGTGCTTGGTGCGGTTGACGAAACCAGGCTTGTTCGCGATGCGAATCGCGCTCTGGTTGTCGCAGTGAAGGCGGAATGTGGGCGAAGCTAGGATTTTCGCCTCTTGCAGAAGTTCCTGCAGATAGAGGCCCTCGCGAACTTTTGCAGTTGCTGCGATGAATTCCGCTTCGGCTGATGACAGGGCAACCAACTCCTGCTTCTGCGAGTTCCAGGAGATTGGTCCCGTTGGTTCGAGTCGGAACAGGAAGCCAGTCCTGGACCGTCGATTGTCAGGATCTGCTGCGTGATCGGCGTCCACGTAGCCGACGAGGTTGAAGGATGGAGTTGGTGCAGTTGAGTAGCACAGCCCAATCTTGGGCGTTGAGACGAAGAATTGAAGGGCGCGCTGCAGGTCCAGGAGATTCTCAGCCGTTGGTTTGCGTGAGTACTGCGCAAGCTGACTTGCGATGTACGAGAGGTCTGGCCTGCAGGTGACGGAGGCGAAGAGGAGGCATCCCAACTGCTGCTGGTAAATTTGAATGCCAGCAGGGGATAGGGCTTTGTTTTCAGGTTTGTGGTTCGGTCCGGGGGTTCGATAGGGAGTCGAGAGGGGTGCAGGTGAGATGTGGAACCGCTTCCCTAACTCCTCTGCATACTTAGCCGCTGAGAGGTGAATGGCCTCAGGCGCGTAGGAGATGTTGAGGCCTAGGAACTGCTTCACCTCGTAGTTGCATGTGATGTCGACGCGCCCCGCCAAGGCTTTCTCGAACT